AAGCTTTGCACTGTTGGAAAGAGCTGTTGAAAGAAGCTACAATACCGACTGCTCCGATTTTTGTTGCAAGTTTCCGATTTTTTATGACCCTACACAAAAAATTCGAATTTTGACTAGTTTTCTTCTATCGCTTATGTCTGAGCACTTTATGCTTAACGGAAGGCCGCTAAGGTACATCTATAAGGGAAACGATTGCTCTTTTATATAAAAATTAAAGCAGTCAAATTGGTTGGAAAAATCAGAAGTTATGAATTTTTGAAAATGGTGCGACAGAACTTTCGTGCCATCCTAATACTTGTGAATAACTGATAAAATTTTCAAATTTTCAAAAATTCAATTTAGCCTTACAGAAAAAATTTTTCGGGGGTTACGGGGTTGTGGGCCCGCAAAAACTTCAGGAAGCATACCATAAATTTTTTCGGAATGTCTAGGTCTCTTTGTAAATCGTGCAAATAGTAAGCACTCGTTCGAAAGCATTGTATCATAATTGCTCGAAACTTGGGGGGGGGGGGGGACTCAAAACTTTATCAGAATTTATTTATACTATGTAGTGAGGTAAATCGTCTACAGTCAGTGGAGGGCTTAAACTTCTAAAAACTGGGCTTGAAAGGAAGCTTACAAGGGAATGGTCAGAAGTCGAAGCGGCCATCCATACAAGCTGCATAATACCATTCGATGCGGCATAAAATGCTGATTTCAAATCTGTCTTCCATATCTGCAGAGCTAGGTGAAGTCATGAGCAGCTTTACTGCGAAAATCGGCTACAAAAATTGCGAAATGAGGCATATCATTGCTCTTTCAGCTCACCTCTATGTACATGTCATATGAAGTGACCTAGGCATGTTTTGGTCCAACACTGAGCCGAGAATGGCTTTGTACGGCCAAGTTTGCACTTCACACGCACAATTTATTAGCAAAATAAGAGCCTTCAAAGGCTTATAATTTCATCGACAAAGCGCTCTGCAGATAAGGAAGACAGATCTAGAGTCAGCGTTTTATGCTGCATCTAGTGGTATGCAGCTTGTATGGATTGGCCACTTCGACTTGTGACCATTCCCTTGTTAGCAATGCTCATCATGGGCATATAAATACTATTTGTTGGTTGCCACATAAATCTAGGAGACTTTTCTGAGCGCAGGAGCCCGACAACTAGAATGCAAATGCTTTCTATAAACTTTAAAGCAAATCTCAAAAAGACCTACTTTTGCTTTGCAACGGTCCTTGATTAGTGTTGTCATCTTTTCTTTAGGTTGCTTTCTATTATAACTGGGTTGCGTTGTCGTGAACTGTCTTCTGGCGTTTTATTGTTTGTATTGTTTACGTAGGGTTTCCAATAGAGCCCGCATTTTCCTCGGAGAAGCGCCATGCCCCGAAAAAATTTTTCATAAGGCTGGCTGGTTTGATTCAAAAAATCTTGAAAATTATTTTGAATTTTTCAAGTATAAACAAGTCAGTTGCACATTTTTATAGCCCATGTAAGTAACTTAAAATTTCGCGAGATCCCCCCCCCCCCCACCCCTCCTTCCCTCCCGTTTCCTGCCCAGCGGTCCGCAGATGGCAGCTGTTTATATTACCAGCTCACGAAGAAGGCTGAACTTCCAAGTATTAAAATTCAAAAAAAAAGAACGAAAGTAGGCGACGGACAAGTTATTCAGGAAGATATGACCTTGTAGTACACATGATTATTCCATGTATGTTTACAAATACAGTCAAGTTAGGTTCGAATCAGTGGATTGGCAAGCTACTAAATGTTAATTTAGCAATTTGTCACAAAACTGAAACTTCAGGAAGAGTTTTGCCACGTTTTGAATCTAAATACTGACGAACGCAACCACCGTCACCACCCGGCCAATAGCAGGTTCAGAGTCACACAAGAGCTAGTCTTGTAAGTGGAGCTCAAATTTCGTTGCAAATAATAATCATGGAATTGGACTAATTACGGTGAAACTCTTCCCGTCCCACGCATATCCAAAAACTAACATAATCATAATAAGTATGTCTCCACATTTATCAAACAAACTAAAGGATTGGTAGGATCTAGCTCCTGCTTTTGGAACAAATTACTTTTGTTTTTATAGCATTACTATAACTTTTTTCTGTTGCATGAGAGACGCATATTTGCACAGACATTAGATTGGAAATGATACGGAATTTTTCTTATTACCGAACCCGCTTGAATGAACATTAAGGGCAAATAATGTAGTTTGTGAAAGTTTATGATGATGAACTTCGCAAAATCTGATGATTTATTCGTGATCTTCTATCTTCTATATAAAGTTGAATGTCTGTTTGTATGTATGTCTGTCTGTGTGTGCGTATGTGCGGAATAGCGATTTTTATTTCTGGACCCATTTGGACCAAACTTGGCACACACATACTTCGGGGCGGGGAGCGTGTCACAGACTACTTCTCGTCATCGATCGATATCGATTTTATCTATTTTCATCGATTTTTTGCAAAGTTTGACCTGCGGGGCTGGAAGTTGGCAGAGGGGGCGGGTGAGCACGCCGATTACGAATACAATATTAGATTTTGGTTTTATCAAATGCCTTTATCGATTTTATCGATTTTTTGCAAAGTTGGAGCTACGGGGCGGCTGTGAACTGGCCCGGGGAGGTAAGTGAGCATGCTGATTACTATTACAGCGGGAATTGGCATGTAGGAGCACAGGAAAAGGTTGTACAAGGATAGGGACGGAACCTTTATCATAGTCTTTTGACAGAGCCAAGTGGAGCCGAGTAAGCCAGCTAGTTCTTTATTCTCTGAAGGGTCTCGCTTGAATGTCGTATGAAGAAAAAACTCCGGTAAAAAGATCAACAATTTTTAATGAGAACAAATTTTTATTCCAACAAATTTATTAAACCTCAAAATCCAATATCTCTAGGCTACTCGGTTCCTAGACAGACGTCGCCTTTATTTCTGATTTATAGTACCGTAAAATCCATTTCGTATAGATGGAGATGTTATGGTATGGGATTACTGTCACCCCAACTTGTTAAAACAATGTTTTTAGACCTGGTGATGAGGCGAACGCTCGTATATATCTCAAGGAGGACGTAAGCACTACGTACATTTTGTTCTAGAAGTTTAATTTAGGCATTCGTAGCATTTAATGACTCCCTTACATACCGTCGCCTTCCCTTACAAGGATACTTGTCCCTATCCTATTGAACTCTCGAGATAAATGAAGTGCCACTGCTCAAAAAATGGTGAACCGACTTCACAATTTCTAGGAATATTTGACCCTTTTCTTTTTCTGTGACTGCACAAAACTAAGCCATTCATGACAAACAAGTCCACAAGAAACAGGGTACAGTCGAGAAGATTATCCGCTCAATATAGTGTGCTTGCGGTGACGACAAAATGCGGTAAAATTTTCGCGTGAACAAATAGTGACGCCAGTATTACCGGCATTGTGCGCGCGCAAGTGGCCAGCATCATAGGCGTCGCTACTTAATCACGCGTAAATTTCACCGCACAATCTCGGCACCGCAAGTACACTGTATAGAACGGAAAATTTGCTCGATTTTAGTTTTCTTCTTCTGAATTGTTTAGGACTTTGCAACAGCTTGAAAAATTGTCCAAAACTTGGCAAGATCTATACGTGATGAATATGGTAAGGATTGTTGTAAAAATAATTATCAACGTGTAAACTTGAGGCAATCACTTTCTTGCAAATCTTGTCATCACTTTCAAATCTTTTATCCGCTCTGTCCGCTTCATTCTCCGACTTAAAGCACAGCCCGTGAAGGAAGACCAGCAGATTGCCGCAATTCGATTACACTAATAGTCAGGCTAAAAGCGTTTACGAGCAAATTGCCATGATTAGAGACAGCAAAACTTCAAATATTGCGAGATTCATGTGATTACAACTTAGGAATCGGGTACCGCAGGTTGCTGACGGCATTCCGTGCGCACATTTCGAATGCGCGACGCGGAAAGCCGAAATTTCGTCGGCGACGATGGTCGTCAAGGCGCGGCGGTGTTCACTAATCGTGGTCGTGCATCTAAATAGACTCAACCGCCTTCAGGCATCGGATTCAGTGTCGGGATTTGGGTGAGAGAGAGAGCGAGGGAGAGCGAGGCAGTGAGATCGATAGTAAGCTGCCTTCGCTCTTCCACTTCTCCTTTCAACCGCAAACGCTGTCCGGAGAGGTGCTTCCCCCTCTGAATTGTCGCCGTAGGGCTGTGTGACGCATTGCTCAGCCGTTCGAACATCTTTGGCACCTCTTTAGGCGCCAAGTGCAAGTAGTATTTCGTCGGAGCAGCTGAATATTACATTCTTCATTTTCTCGACGCAATTAACGTTGCTAAGTGATTTGTCTGAGGACTTACCATGAGACCACTTCCTGAGTCACTCTTACTCTTCTTCTTTCTTTATCCTCCTCATTGTCCCGGTGGCGCAGGGTCGGCTGTACCCTATCTCACACCTTGAAATTGTCTCTGGTACCTCGTTTTTCAATCATCATTTATTTGGTTGGCACATTTTCTCAGCTGATTTCGTAACGATGTTTGAGTGTGGGTAAGGGAGTGAGCTACAAAACAAAGTGTAGATTAGGTAGTGAGCTACAAACATGCGAAGCAGCCTGATTTTTTGGTAACGAAGTGGAGAAAATTTGAGTTCGAAAACTGCTCGGCAAAACAGTATATGTAAAACAAAATTAGGGCCTTTCTTAATCTGAATCAACAGCATCAAGTCAAAATTGTAATTGTTAGCGATTTCTCCATCAACAAAGACTGAGAAGGCTTGATTTTGTTGCCTAGCCCTATAAATTTCGAATTTGAGCAGTTTTCGAAAAATGAGCAAATTTTTTCCACTTTGCTACCAAAAATAACACTGTGTGGGCACATTTGCAACTCACTACTAGTCTAAATTATGCTTAAAAATGAATGCGTGACAGCTAAAATCAAAAATTTACGAAATTAGTTACAGAACTTATGCGCCAACCTTATATATCATCGTCTTGCCTTTAATCTTATGTCCGGTTTTTAGCCAACTAATGGAGAATATCCGCGCCTATGGCGTGGGTTTGGCAGGCGGACAGTTCGACGCAAATACTTTTCTCAAGAAACCTACTGTAATCTTCAGAAGCATCGCCCTGGTTAGTGCTATATATGTTTTTTTATGTTAATTTACTGTCATATCTTCATTTTCAACATTCCCTGAGTCTTGACGCTAGCTTCCAACGAAGTGGCGAAATTCAGTTTTTGTTTTTCTGTCTTGCGATCTCGTCCACATTTACTAAATTCACAGTAGGCCTGAGAATCTGAGATATTCATTATGTCCTCACAACCAAAATTTCCAGAAAGCAAATGCTGTTCAGAATTAGAAGACGGGTTATAATAAAAGGAAAAATCGTGAGAGAGCGTAAATTAGTTGTGGTCAACTGAATCAAGTTACTTTCAGTGGCTCAAGATATAAAGATAGTTACTTTTCTCGGTTACTTTACAGAATGTCTCAGCATTTTAGCCAAAGTACCGGCGCATCAATATTTTTCATAATTAATCTGAAACTTTTTTGGAGGAATTCGAAAAACACTCACCATCCTTGAATGCTTGAAATGTAGTGATTTAATCAATTTTGTTCCATTCTGTCCCTAGGTTTCAAATATATGCTAGAAAGACAAGCCATAGCGGCATAGCAGCACTTAAGACACTTCAGATAAACTTTTGAAAGATTAATGCTCTACAGTTCTAAAATTGGGTATCTCCATATTATACACCACCATGAGCATCTCAAATTGATTTTTGTACCCTTTTAATGTTCTGCAATCTCGCTAATTTACCTGCCTCAACCTTTTTGTTACTTGTTTGATTATAATTGTGACATACATAGTGAGAATATTCAGAAACACGGATAAGGTTGCATTGCATTTTTCATACGTCAAACTAAATAGGAATAGAATTTCCAACATTCGAAAAAGTTCTCACACGCTCACATTACATCATTAAGCATTATTCTGATTTTAAGTGATGACCGAGCGTGTTAGTGGCCGATTTTTCTCGAAACATCCATACGTGACTTCCACTCCCTTCAACCTCAAATAGCTACTTGCGACATGGTGAATTCATCATTTTCGCTGCACATAATTCGTCCCACAATCCCCTTAGGGCTCATGGGAGCCGCATCGATTGGTGGAAAGACTTTTTAAGCACTTGTAGTTGCGTGCACATGTACGTGCTGTGGTTGGCGCTGTGCCTTTGTCGGGGCACAGCTCGGTCCGCTTGGATTCCCCCGCGCACAATTCACTTCCCCCTCACAAATTGATTTCATAAAGGGGGCCAATACATCACGTAACGAGTGCGGACTGAAGCGACGAGTCGAGAAATGAAAATTCTGCAAATCAGTGGCGGTCGCAGGATTTCAGTCCGGGGGGGGGTGCAAAAATTACTTTCAAAAGAAGGTGCAGCCACGCACTCCGAAAAATTTTTTGAGGTGCTTCTCGAGATTTTTTCGGATCATAACCTTTACATTCTAGAAGAAGGGGTGTGAAGGCGGCTGCTCCTTTAAAAAACCGTTTTACAACTCTATTCGGATTTTTAAAAAATTTAAAAAGTTATTAACTTTGTGATGTTTTGCCACACAGGCTTGTTATAAGTTTTATTTATTCAGCCTGACGTTTAGGCAGTAATGAATTCCTCAGTTTTACTAAATAAAACTTATAACAAACCTGTGTGGCAAAACCTCACACAAGATAGTGTTACTACGATGCCCAGGTTTTACGAACAGAGAACATATAAAAAATATTTTGATTATTTACAAGAATAAACATGTCACTTGCCCATATTTATAATCCATGTACGTAAATTTCAAAAGTTTCGCGATCCATTCTCGGTTTTTGCTACCCATTCCCCCCCCCCCTCCCCCCCACCCCAGTATAAGCCGAACACGATAGTTCACACGCAATTCGCTTATAATCCGAGCACTAATAATGTGTTCCTCATAATCAATAGTCAGAATTTCTCGCTGGAAAGCGCTATTGAAAAATCCGCTGAGAATTTCGATGATGTGAATTTTTTTCCTCATTGCTGTGTTGATGAATAGCTGCTAGGCAGCATGCAATTTCTAAAAGCGAAAATAACCGTGCTTATGATTTGTCAAAGCGCGTGACATATTTCCCGACAACATATGGTCATATTAATTAACGCCTTTAAAGCACTAAAGCTTTTCATTCATGGAAACAAGACTAAAGAAAACTTCTAGCTTAGTCTTATTTTAATGTAGTAAAGCAAAAAACCATTACTAAATCACGAACTGCAGTGAATTCGGCCACAATGGCATTTACGAAAATTATAGCCACTTTGACTATGATCTATACTACTAATTGAGAACGGAGTCTATAAATGATTTCATTTTTCTTCAGCCGGAAATAATCAAAGTAATCGCATTTACGCTCGCTATTGGGTTACAGCACCCCGGCTTAGCAGATTTGGTTTCACACGAAAACACCCTTATCGACTTAGTAGCAGTGACATCAAAATGTTGGATAAAAAGAAAACCATGAAGGGGGGGGGCATAAGCTACACTTTGCTAATCTGTTTCTGATGCAAGCCGTATTCACTAGATGAAGCACCTCAAGTCATAGCATTTCTCAGCGCAACAGCTCACTTATAATAGGTTTGAATAACATTAAGAAGGCATCCGTCCATCAGCAAACCTGCTTCTTCTGAATGTGATTACAGTATTATTGTGGTGAGCTCTCGAAAATGGCACAAATTTGATATTCATATTTTCGTGGCATTTTTCCATAATCAGTCGTTAGCCGCAGTGTGTGCTTAGAAGTTGACAACAATCGTTTGGAGAAAAATTTAATAAAAATGCAAAGAATGGGGTAGCTTTGTAAATATTTTCATCATCACAATCTACCATCTAACTTCCAAAGGGTGTATGCATCCTTTCATTAACACATTCACGACAGAGCCATTTTTTCGAAAACTGCCCTATTGGACCAGGCATATTTCGCAATATCAAGTTTGCGTAATATGCTCTACATGGGTCTCATGGTCTGAAATGTGAATCTTCCAAGTAGTAATCCACAATATGTATATGGGAGTTTACCAGTGGCGGTCCCAGGATTTCGGGCCGGGGGGGGGGGGCGCGACAAATATTTTTTTTCAAATGAACGTGGCGTCAGCCACGCACTCCGAAAAAATTTTTGGGGTGCTTCTCAAAATTTTTGCGGGCCCCGAAAAAAATTTTTATAAGGCTAATTTGAATTTTCAAAAGATTTTAAAAATTATTTTAATTATTCACAAAAATAAACAAGTTTTTATAACCTATATAGGTAAGATTCAAAAATTTCGCGACCCATTCTCGGGGGGGGGGGGGGCCCTCGGTCCGTCGGTCCGCCACTGGAGTTTACACTATTTATACAACAGTTTTATCTTAAACTAGCAAGATCAAAGTCGTAGTCCGAAATACCAGTGTACATACGACCCACCGGGGTCTTGTCGTGAATGCTTTAAGGGTCCATCCTTCCCCCGCCCCCCGCCTCTTCCGGAACGATTTTCTGCGACGCATATTTCCACTTAGAACCACTGTCAAACTCTCTGAGTAAAGCTAGAAAAAGAGAGAAAAGCTCTTTTGTACCACCGTAACCAAATATACGTCTGCTCCAGCAATGGGAGGTTTCACAGTAATCCACACGCAAAATGGCCTTCCCTGCTAGAATTGGTTGATTCAACAAACCAATCAAATTTTTTGACGATAGAAGTTATGGGGAATGGGCACCACCAATTAATTGAGCATGTCCTAATGTTGGTAAACTTACGGTGTAATCACGTAAGACAAGATCATTTGTTGGTATATGGCCAATATACATCGAGCTGAAATCCTAAGTCTCCATAGCTTTAGTAGGAATCATATCGATACCTTGAGTTCATACTTTTTATAAACTTCATTATTCACCATCAAGTCTTTGTAATGGACTAGTTGCCATTCTTATTGTAGATATAAGGATTTTCCTCGTTAAGCAGTCCACGCTTGTGAACTTGCCACGGGGACACTAAAACAAACAGATAATTTTCTCATTAAGCTATTTTGTGTTTTGATGAGTTTGCAAGAGATGACGCGTGTCACAAAAACTGTCCATCGTTCCAAAACAATGATGTCAACTACAGCTTTTTTCATTCGGAAAAGCTTCTAATCAACCCGACGGCGTCCTCTTCCCATTATTCGAGAAGATTCTACTGAAAAAGACAATCCTGCTCAGCCATGCATGAACTTTGATGGTCCCCAGCGGGTTGCTATCCCTGTTGTCCAAGCCAAGGAGAGCTTCAAGATATAATGAACAAAATGTATGACGTTTGCACCAAGTTTCAAGTTTCGTGCTCCAATTATGAGCATCAATTTTTCTCACCCTCTTTCATTTTTGCTCAAAACCTGTACAACCAACAAATTCCACTAGCTAACCAGTTAAAAGGGAGGGTTTGGAGAACATAACAATTTACCCACTAAGTATTACTAGTAGAATGTCTGCTTTACGAGGTTTTTACTCTAAGATTGTTGTAAAGCTACGTTTGAGGTGCTTTGTCATGTTGATGTTGTGAATTTCAGTTGTTATTGCAATAATATTAGGTTGATGCAAAAGTTCTTTCCGCTCATTTCCAAAAATTCATAACTTCCGATTTTTTCAACCAATTTGGCTGCCTTCATTTTTGTATGAAAGAGTAACTCATGCTCTTCATAATGACATCTTAGCTGCTTGCTAATGATCATCTGTTTCATAGATACGAGCAATAGAAGAAAATTAGTCAAAATTCGAATTTTCTGTGTAGGGTCATAAAAAATTGGAAACATGCAATAACAATCGGTGCAGTCTGTATTGTAGGTTTCTTCACCAGCTCTTTCTAACAGTGCAAAGTTTGCGCCGATTGAGCGTCTCTACAAAAAGTTATGATTTTCCTGAAAAATGCCAAAATAAATCAAAATCGCCCTTTTGTATTGCTTGCTCGAAAATCATAACTTATGATAGAGACGCTCAATCGACGCAAGCTTTGCACCATTAGAAAGAGCTGGTGAAAGAACCTACAATACTGACTGCTCCGATTTTTCTTGCAAGTTTCCGATTTTTTATGACCCTACACAGAAAATTCAAGTTTTGACCAATTTTCTTCTATCGCTCCTATCTATGCAACAGATGACCATTAGCAAGCAGCTAAGATGTCATTATGAAGAGCTTGAGTTACTCTTTCATTTAAAAATAAATGCAGCCAAATTGGTTGAAAAAATCGGAAGTTATGAATTTTTGAAAATGAGCGGAAAAAACTTTTGCATCAACCTAATATTTTGCACTAATGTTTATTTGAAAATTTACATTGTAAAACGACTGGATAAAAAACGTATATTAGGAACGTCTCACTCAATTGGAAGTTGTTTATAAAATCACTCACCGAGTCGAATGACTTTCTAAGTTTTATTTGTTTTCGATTAATTTTATTTTTTCTTCCATAGCTGCAATAATGCTTGGCAAAGTAACCAGTACAAGTGAGGGTATAGATCTTTAAACCCCCTTATTTCTAGTTCAAATGTTTTTCTTTGATATCCATCTAACTTGCATAGGTATTGGAAATATAGAAAAAATTATTCATCCTTGAAGTGAGGGAAAGAAGTTAGAAGCTTTTGGGTGTTACTTTCACAATAGTGTAGGAGAGTACACATTAAAAGCCTTATAGAAACATCAAAATGTATTTTTGTAGGTGTTTGCTGCATTGCTGTGGTTTAGCATATCAAAAGGTGGATGGCATAAGTTAGCTGGATCACATCATCAAGTAAGAAATCTAGGTTTTGAAATCAATTAATCTCAATTTATACAGAAGTTCTTAGGTCTGTTTATATGGCAGCAGTTCGTCAACGTGCTCATTTGCGTCAGCTCTCGGATTTTTCTCCTTAGTTGCAGCTGGAGCTTTACTACTGTCCGATGCTCGACTGGAACGAATATCATCCGTACCAACAAGAAAGCGTGTGGTCACTGGAGATTTAGCAGTATCTGGTTCGTCTAATTAGTTTGACTGACAGCATTAACTTCTTTGAACAGATAGCATCTGATGTGGTGTGCGGGCCCATGAGAAAAGGGAATGGCCTAACAAGGAAAGAGTACTAGGTCGAAGTGGCGTTTCCATATGAATTGTGAACTGTATTAGAGAGCATAAAACGCTGACTCCAAATCTGCTTTTGATATGCAAAGCGTTTTTGCGAAGGAGGTTGTGGAATTTTTTTTTGGAAAATTCAACGGTTTGATTAAAGTAAAAACAGTTGTTGAGGTGTTTCCAGCGCTTGAAAGGAGTAATGACTGGCATGAGTTTATTACACTAGAGGTAATTATTGCCTAGCGCCGTGGCAGTGATCATGGCCCCACTTGCGCTCACAAACTTCAATTTTGAATGATTTTATTGTAGCCCTGCGTTCAAAGTTTCGCTTCAAAAGATTCTCATAACCCCACTCCCGAAATCTACCGAATGCAAATTTGAAATCAGCGTCCCGTTTTCTATGAGACAATGTACACCTCACATGGAAACTCCATTTCGACTAAATATCCATCCTTTGTAAGAAGCTAGTTGGATTTTGAAGATTGCAAGATTTGTTTTTAGTGCTAAAAAATAGTTTATAGAAATTATCAAAGTGTTACACACATTCACTTGCTTATTTATAAAAAATACTTGGGGACCTTTCAAACTTGTAAGGTCCACTGCCTATCATTTGCAATGGTTGATTTCAGCAGGAAGGCAAAAGATAAAGTCACCGTTTAAACTGAGTATGGTGAGATTTTGGTGTTGTATAATAGAGGAGTGCCTAACTAAGTAATCGCCCAAGTCTTGATGCAAAAGATGAATTCCGAAGCGAGAAGATCGCTCCAGAAAGTCGAATTGGCCAGGATGGCTCCGTCCTTTAGCTTGGGTGGTTTTAAGATAATCAGGTCAAAGTGAGCTTCACAGTAGGTAAAAAAGTCGAGAATTCGATAATCTTCATGAAGGGCCGATTTATGACAACTTTGGTACGTCAAAGCCCAACTTTAAACTTGTTATCTTGGGACCACTCACTTTTATGGGTGGGGATTCCTTGGCAGCTTCTGACTTCTGGTGCTACTCGCTTCGAAATTCGTCTTTTGGAGCTGGACTTGAGCTACTACTTAGGTAGAGGGCCTCGCTTTTGTACAGCTCAAACTCTCACCATCCTAAATTGGGTGTACGTTGCCTTTAATGCTCTTTGTTATCGCTATCTACCTCTAAAACTAGCACTATCATAACTAGAAAACATGCATAATTTTCAGCAATATTCGCCGGTATTTTTCTCGTTGCCTTCTTCACATTTTGGAGCAAATTTTCGTCATTCGAACTAGATGAGCCCTATTCGTCCGGATATGCAAAGTTTGGAATACTGCTATCGCTGCTCTCTGCCCTGGCATGGGTTGGTTTTTACACGAACTTAGTCGAAGTGTCTTTCTTGCTCTTTACCCATGTGCCGTTCTAGGGTGGAGCTGCGTTCTTTGCTTGGAGACGATACATGGAGGGTGCTATAACAGCAGTAGGTACCAACTTCGACAACGAATTCAGTGGTATTGATGGTGATGTGCAGGATGGATATGGCTACGGTGGAAGCTCTGAAGGTAGGTTTCATTTATTAGATTTTGGAGGAGTGGTATCGTAAGGTGCTGCGATAACTATAAAAAATTAGGTTTCAGCTTCAAAAGTGGAAAGAATACAGCTCAGGACAAAAAAGTCACCGAACTACACTGAAGTTTTCCGAAATCCGCGTTGCATCGACTTCTTGTTCATAGTGGAAAAACTCTGAATCTAAGGGCACCGTTCGACTTAGCTCGACGAGGCTCATTTTTTGGTATATAGAGTTGCCCGTTTGTATATGGTTGATAGAGTTATGTCACAAGGAAAGGATGATTGGTCAAAGTGGCCTTTTAGGACCGAACATGTACACCTTGAAGGGCATAAAAAGCTAATTCGAAATCTGTTTTCCTTATCTGCGGACCGTTCCTGTGCAAGGACCAATGAGCGTTTATTCAAGCACAAAATCGAATGTGTAAATGGAATTAAAATAGTCGTAACATCTTTCTTAGCTCTTGAATGGAGGAGTTATTGCTATCAGAACACCTTTTGCAACAAACGCTTTCAGATAAATTGTATCCACACTCCACTGCCTCACTAAAGCGCTAAGAAAATTTTAGCAACTGATTTTACTAAAAAATAATTCTACTTCTAGTGCAATAAATGTTCATAACTTCCCGTCCATGAATGCTTCGCAGTTAATGGAGACAGATTTAGGCATCAGCGTTTCATGCCCTTCAAGATGTATGTGTTCTGTTTTAAAAGGCCACTTCGACCAACCATCCTTCTCTTGTCAGTATGCTTATTCATTGCGCACTGAGTAAGCTACCGTACCCAAAAATTTATGAAGTCTAAGCACCTACCGTATTCAAACGGGCACTTCTATATAAGAGCTCCTCGCTAAGCCGAACGGTGGATCCAGAATTCGTCTACGCTAGATTAAGATATGGCGATGCGACATGGAATTAGCAGAACTCTGGTGGAATTGGGTGACTTTTTGACTAAAAATGCGCGGTATTGTACAAGTTGTTGCGAATGCTTCTATTCTATTAGGTTGGCTAAAAAATAAGTTCGGTCGTTTTTAGCGGTTTGTAGAATTGTCACAGATCAGTTTTCGTGTGTATTTATGGTACCATTGGAAAGAGCAAATCAAAGAGAATCGGAAGGTAAACTCTGTTTTCTCGAAATCGATTTTTCTGATAATGAAATGATGAGTTAAAGAAAATTGGTCCGATTTTTTCCTCAAAATTTCGAAAAATCACGTTCCGAAAAACGAATTGAAGTCAGGTATAAAGTGTAGATTCGCTACCGACACAGCAAAATTTTGAATTTCCAACCATTTGCAAGGCCATAGATAGCCGAATTCGAGTTATCTGGAATGCCCAAAATTTGACCTTAAACGCAAATGCCTGAAAATTTTCACAATTTTGGCTGCAGAAATTCAGAAACAGCAGGTCACAATCTCTATTATGGTTCGCCACCTAGCCAGAGGCTGTATGTACCCAACCATCAAATTACTCGCCTGTGTACTCACTGCAGGCTGAGGGGTATATGTCAAGATGAACGATAGCTGGTACCAGTGGCGCGCGGGGTCATGAACTGGCAATAACGTGTTCGCTCGAAGCTCCGCCCTACTGCGGTGGACGAGTTTCTCGGACGATACCGTCAAGTAGAAATGACTTTTGATAGTGAAAAACAAACAATCATGGCAACTCAAACAATCATGGCTCAAGCTATAAGCTTGAGCCATGATTGTTTGAGTGACCTCACATCTTACGACTAGTTCACACGCAATTTCGAATGAGTTACAGATCGATTTATATTAAGGGTAGCAGTTTTTGGAAGCAAAATAAAAGATATTTGATATTTGAAGCAGATTCGAAAGTTTATAAGTGCAGTATGATTTTCCTGAGTTCTGAGAAAATTTATGTGGTATGACCGCATATTTGCAAAACGAGTTAGTTTGCCTGAAACAAAATTCGCCTAAAATGCTTGTTTTGAATTCTCGACGCAATGAAAAATTGCGAACTAACTTTATAAAGAAAAATGATTTGAAAAGCCAACCTAATAATTTTTGAGCCTATTAAAGCACCTGGTGATGTCAAAACTTTGTCTACTTCATGGTCGGAAGAGATTACCTTTCAAAAAAGCAAAGCGAATTCTTTAATTAGATTCTCATATTCAGGCGTTGGAGCAGTCGGGGTAGCTAATACGTCCTATCAAGCCGGCGCTCCACCAACTGTGCCAACGAATCCTAATCCATTTGTTGGGACGGACGGATACGGCTACTGAGGTGACAACGATGCAGATACGGACATTATCATTTCGTTGCCCACCTCGGTTTTTTTTTGAAAGTATTATTAATTTATTGTTAGTAATAGAGATAGACATCAGTGGAACAAGATAGGCGATATTGATTTGCATTAGATGCGCAATAGTTTCTCATGTAATAATTATCATGCGAGTTGCTTATTTCCTCAAATTTGAGGGTAATGTTCATACAGTCAATAATGAGCAAAATTTTTCACTTGTTGCTGCCGCTATATTATAGATCTTGAGCAGCTAATTTTTATTAGAGCAGCTTTCTTTTCTTTCAGAATAATCACTACTTGTACGAGAAGAAGATCAAATTATGTAGTCCGCTTTTCCTTTTTTCTTAGGGAACCAGCGCAAAATTTGCGCAAATGTGTAAGCTTTGATGTTTCAAGTATTATAAATGAATGTCTCTCAATAAACATCATGCAATTTGTACTAATGCAGAAAGCAATTTTGAAAATAAAAATGTCGAAATTATAGTAATAGCTTAGAGTTGTTCTCGAGGGAGTGTGTGCTGGTCATTGTTCGAGGCTCATTTATTCATCATAATGATGATCTTACCTGAGTCTTTATTAGCCATGCTTTTGACGGGAATACTTCGTCTGCTTTTATCAAGTTTTTCCCTATGTTTGGTACTCAGTTATGGAAAGTCAAATAAGAAGTTGGTTGCAATACATCACCAATTTCAGCACATTTCTGTTATCCGCCATTCTAGAAGAGGAAATTACTTTATTCCTTATACCATATTCAACTTCAACTTCTTAAGAATAAGTGTCAAACTCCTGCCATGTATCAAGAAACTTGACATGTCATCTACATAATTGACAGGTTTTACCAAAAGTTTTGTGTCGCTACTATCAACCTGATTTCTTACTGTTTTTTTTTTGATATTCACTCCTCAACTCGAGAACTTTGAGAAAGAAAATTAACACCATAAAAATGACATGTTGTTTCCATATGAATGTACTAGATTTGCTCTGTCCAAAGGGGAGCGCTAGGATTCCATTATTCAGGTGGAAACATAATCGGCACTGAGAGATGTACTTCACGTCGTTATTTGATGTCCTCGCTAAGCTCTCATCGGTAGTTTAAAAAGAAAAGTAATTGAAATTACTGTCTTAAGGCGTCAAGATGCCGTTATAAAAGCTCTGAAGTCTTGCGCTTTTATAAAAGCAGCTAGGTAGCCTTTGAGTCATCTCAAGTGCTTTCGTATCTTGTAAACGTTTTCGAAACATATCAAAGTGAGTCGAAACGTGTTAGTTAGTTAGTTTTTTCCCCTTACACAAGGCAGGTAGATAATCTAAATGAAATGTACGGAAACTTTTCTAGACCGAAGCACATGTTTTATAAGCAATTTCTGAAAAATAGTTTCCGGATAACGAAAAGTATTCCTAATTCTGACGATTGTTGAAGCATCTGCTGTTAATGTAGGATCTGTTAAGTGTTACAACCATAATCTTGGTTCAATAACAAGAAATCGTTCTATAAACATGGCTTGTGAGTTATAGAGTTCAAGCCTGAGAACAGAAAAAAAGGTCTTGTTAATATAGATGTTGTTGAATGATTCGATTTTACCAATATAATTCAGGATAGGGCTATAATGCTTACAATTTCGTTTAACATTTCTTCCATCAATAAAAAGCGCCTGTTTGCTCTCAAAACTCTCGTACTTTCCTTACTGACTGTTATTTGAAAGAAGAACCTGTATGCTTCCATATTATCCGTTAAAGGAAATTTTTAACGCTCTTTAAATTTGCGCGTTTTCTCTCTTAACCTCGAACTAGACTTTCAAGAAGCTTCTGACCGACAGATTTTCTAAGAAATTAGATTTCAATCTGGATGGTGAACGAACGAATCCAATTTTGGTGCAGAACTAGTTTTGAATAGCTTACATTCAGCATGAAGATGGCCATGTAAACGACTCAGAACTTCGAAGAGGGCTATTCAGACGCTTGTAATGACTCATTAGATAAGGGCTATGTATTAGGTCGATGCAAAACCAATGCATGTTACTTATCCTTGAGCGGCAAAAAACTTGTTATACGAAACATACCATTCGGTAGAGCAAAGCAAGCCCTACAATATATTTTTCAAACAATCTTAGAAAGTCCAATTCATGGAATGTTAGAAGGAAAAATCTGAAAATTGTCCAAAATCAGATCTACATTTGAAAAGTCCCTCCAAAGTTCCAACTTGCTCACACCTGTCGCATCAGCTATGCATGTGTAAACTTACTGTATTTTTTACACGGCTAGATGCTGACAGATTGAAATCCGGCATGTTCTAGCAAAATGAACTCTGGATTATCCCGACATAAGTAGTACTACAAGTCTTTGATAAAATAACAACAAATTCACAACCTTTTACGAGCGTTATGTAATTGTCGAGAATATCAAATTCAACACAAAACAACCCGGAAAAGGCTACCTTTTTGAATGGCCCATTTTTGATTTTCATTTTCCAGTAGTAAGATACGGTAATTGTACATTCGAATATCTTATGTGTATAGCATAAGCTTGGCCTAGTTAGGATTTTGCAGAATCTTTCAGACGGAAATCTAATTTCTGGGTATACAAAATTTTCTAGATTTTCTTCGCAGGCTTCACATAAACCTTTGGCGGTTGGTAAACTACTATCTTACAAAGTTTGCATTGCTCTATCGAATAATAAACTTTACATATTTTTACATCTTCTCTACGGCTTCAGTATCAGGAACATGCATTAATTCTGCAACTAGAAATTGTGTAAGGATCTGAGTTTATGCATTTGCGATTCGAGATCGAGAAATTTTGAATTTTATCTACAAACAGGATATCTCTTTATGTAGCACTTTGTGCTTTTTTAAAATAGCACTGATCTCTCCCTCTGACTGCTACCCAGTTCGAAATTAGCTCAATCTACTTGGTACTGCTACGAGCATTCTAACTTTTATGCAATTGCAGGTGAGGTTCCATCAATTCCAACATAATTCGAAAATTTGGGATAAAGGTTTCATAATACTAATTATGTCGCATAATGACCAATAATGACGACGAAAAAACAAGGATGAAAAGAAAACCAAGCATTTGCGATGATAAATACTAATTTGCGAACAGACAAATGGATCGTGGTTTAATAGTCGCTGTTTATCCTGCAGTACGACCAGATTTGTATCAGTGGTTACTCATCGCAACGTTCAAATATGTACTATGTCCTGATTGCTTCACTTTTACGTCAACTTTTAACTCAGTAAAGAAATTTCTCATTATTTATACACAGCACTATTCTGAGTATGCTTTACTCATTTCCTAGCCCAATATGTGCGACTGCACACACTGCATGATTTAACCTTTTAACCTGGGATTCGGTGGCCGTTTTGCCTACAAATGTGCGAAATTCTAACTTTCAGTGCTTTGAAAGAATAGAGACTGGGAAAGATGATATTGAAAAAGATTTTACCAGGAAGAAATGCATCTTGCAGCTGACGGAATCCCAGGATGCGTAGCGAAATTGTGCTGTGTGCAGTTATACATATCACAAAAACATAAAGTAACTAAACTGGACTTTTATCGTTTCTAGAATGTCTACCTTACTTGCTGCTGTATTGTTTATTCACTTGAGTGCTGTCTATGCTGGTGAAGGAACGGTCAACGCTTTTGGATGTGTATACTGTAAAGGAAGACCGCTGACGAACATTACTGTTAGGATGTATGATGTTGACTGTAAGTTTCATGAATTTTATCAAGCTGAGCATATGCTCAATCGTGTAAGCTGCTAGCAAAAACATTAGCAGAACATTCAAACCCAATCATCAATGCAACTACATTTACAGAATTTCCATTAGCTTTGGTAATCGTCATATAGTTTGCCATAAAGGCTTTTTACGGTGGCAAATATATTTGAATGGCCTCACCTTCATGACACAGCGGAATCAAAAACTATAAACAGTGCTAAGTTACAAAGAATTGAACATGGAAACCATTTGCATATTGTAAATACTAACAGTACGACTGTTGTAATTATTCACCAGCTCAATGTTGACGTTTGTCGTAGCAATCTGTAATATCAGACATTGGCCAGATCTAGCATTAAATAGAAGTTTCTAGCGCGAAAATGCGTGTTTTACCAGTTTACTTACTAACTTTCGCTTATCTGACGAGAACACCAGAAATCTGGGTGTTCCGCAAAAGTAAAGTTGAGATTAGGTCTTCAGCAAACTTCTGTAGAAAGGTCTATAAAATCGAATCACATGCGATTGGTTTGAGCTTTATTTGTTCCAAAAGAATTTGCTGAATAATAATTTTGTATAATTTATCGTTTTGTGAATATTAATTTTTGAGCTTCTTTGACCTCTTATTTTAAAGGTTTTTACCCGTACTCAGATGCAAGATTTCTTCCGAAGAAAGCGAGTTTACAATCCACTTGCGCACTTCATGAGTTTTAGTTAGTGACTTAGGGTGTCTTAATCCACGTATTTTTCTGTATCGTGTAATTAGCAAAATTATTGCTCGTCAGGTAGATGCCTAGGCTCGAAAACTATGCAGTATTGTGAATCGGTGAAGATGTGAGATAATAGGAGAAACTTAGTTTTGCCTCAACAAGCTCCACGATTACCTTCACTTACTCGAATGACTCTGGTGAAAATATGCAATACTTCGCGAACTTATAGCTCGGCTCAAAATGAAGCTAGAGGGTTCAAATTAATTAAGTACTATCCACAATTTTTTGGACTTCATCAGTTCACTCCATACTCCGATCTTGTAGCTCAGGATTTTTAACGCTGGAAATTCCTGGATTTTCTACAACGCGATTTCTAGGAAAGCTGCAGCGCTGTAATTTTTAGGACACTATATGTGTTAGGCTTGAACGCTAGATCCGCGCTTTGAAGCTTGTTGACCAGAGTTGACTCCGTAATGCTAAATGAGAGCGACTCTAACAATGCAATTCGAATCAGCGACGTCCAACTTTCTATCCTTGTTTACTTACAGTTTTCTTTGATGCATTTATGGGATATGCCGTGACCGACGAAGAAGGATGTTTCTTTATCAATGGAACTGCCTCAGATCTTCGCGATGAAATCGATCCTGTCATCAACTTTTACCACACCTGTGAAATGGATATTGATTATGGGGTATGCTTGCTCTAAAAATTGCGATCTGCTCGCCGATTTATGTCGGAAAATGTGTTGGTCTCTGCTGTATAGTTTGCCGATTTTTTTTAACCCAGAAGGAGCAGACAACTTTGCATAAGCCAGCGATCTGATCCTCAAGTTATTTTTCTGGCTTCCTGTCAACTACGATCTATTTCAGCGTTGTCTTCTGAAGTCGAGGATGTTCCTAGGTGAAGATGAGATCAACACATCCAAACCATTGAATTTCACGAAAATCGACGTAGCTCAACTTCCCACTGCAAAAGATTGCTTTCACTGACGTTACTATATCGTGATATGCATTTTTGTGGTTATGATTGGTACTTTAGAAAATAAATGTTGATATGATGATTTTGGTGGTGACAATTCATCAAATGTCTTTCCATTATGACGTAGTAAACGCAGTTCGCAGTAATTGGAATACATCCCGATAATATCAACACTCGCATGGAAAGCGTGTCGCTGTAGGGTTTACAACTTTGTCGATGCAATCTTAACGTTTTGTATGGTTCGTCTAACTTATGTCCTACGGCCATCAAGGATTCGAAGAATTCGAAAGCATGTAGTTTGCTATGTTGCCATCTTGTGTTTCATAATAACTAGATGCCATAGACCAGCCAGCACCAATAGAAGGTAATGATTTTGTGGTTCATGTAGGTAGCATCACGTCCAAACTGCTTGAACTCTTCTTATGCTTGCCTTTCACTTTATTGAAGGCATACAATCATATTTCTTTACTTTAAATTTTTTAACAGTATCTTCCAGCAACATTCCGAGCAATTTCATAGAGGCGATAAGCTTAAATTGCGACCCAATTATAAACAACACCGTAGATATTGTCAAGTACGAATACTGGAAATTTAATTATCAATATTATGAAGACGAGCTATATTCGTCGAAAAACATGTAAGTTTAGAACATTTCTTGAATTTTAATCCAGCACTTTTATGCTGTTGCAGATGTGAAACTATTCACAATCGTTTCTATTTTGAAAAGAGGCCGCTGTCAAGAGAAGAGGAAAGATTCCCATTAGCATTCGGTTATCTCGTTTATAAAGATCTCGTCCAGGTCTGATAGACTTTTTAATTATAATTAAGCTTTGAATGAGCTCATTTGCAGGTTTTGCTGCAATTTAGCATCTTCTATCAGCCACAGAACGCCTACTGTATCTGTATCGATGATTTCGCTTCGAAAGCATTTAAAAAATTTATAATGAAGCTGCCGCAATGCTTCAATAATGTTCATACTATGGTGTGTAGTTGTTCGATTTCTTTTTTATTTTGGAAATTATGGTAGATCATTCGTTAGATCGGCTTCTAATTTTGTCTATATACAAGAGAAATCACAGATTCTGAATTTGAGGCTTGTTATAAATAAAAAAGTCATGAGTAGGCAGTTTTTTATATTCTAGATTGCTTCATCCTCTTCTTATTATAATATTTAGCCCACAAGCATTTGCTTTGACTAGAAAAATGTGATTCCAGATAGGACAGTATTCTAACTGGGGTACTTTTGGTATACTTGACAACGTCTACCAATGTTTCAAATATTTGACTCTACGCAAACATAACTGGAAATACTATCAGGTCTGCTCACCATCCCGCTGAATTCTTTTCACAGTTTCTTTTCGCTTTTAGTACTTATCCGGTTCGGATCTGCCGATTCGTACAAATCTCGAAATGGTTCGCATAATGAAAGCGTTGAATGGATCGATTAACACGGATGTTGAGGAATTTGACTTGGATCGCTATAGGACGATGGAGGTAAATCAGCGCCATTATTTCCTAACAGGATATTCAAACTGGATCACTGTTCCAGGGAATTCATCCCCCCGTTCCTCTTTTCAAATCAGCAATGTCAGTGGCAATGCCTAGAGCTGCAGCCAATTATATAGTCAGAAGCACGAAGGTGAGGAGACTCCTGAAGTATCTCTCACATACATGGATACCAGACGAGTCGTTTTGGACATCAGTGGGCGGCAACGCTGCATGTGAGTTACTTATAAATTTCTAAGAGAATCAATGCAGAAAGACAGGTTCTGAAGTCTGGGGTACCTTTTTGTGGGGTCCTGTTCAGATAACTGACAAGAAGTTCCGCAGGACATTCAGCGAACGAAGCTCCCGCTCATCCCCTCTCCTCCAAAATGCTGCGCATATTTCCGTTTTCAATCAGTGTGGCATCAAAATCCTGAGGAGGTTCCCATTTTCGACGCTTGAATTTCTGTGGTAGGAAAAAATCCGTGGAACAGCAGCTAATATTTCTTGTCCTGCGGAAGTTCCCGAGGGTTGTCTGAGTGGACGTGATGGGCTTCAACTTGCGAGTTTTCATAGGGCATAAGCAACGTTACGCCCTCCATTCAAAAAAATTTTTTCTTCTCCTCCCTTTCAAGAAAATAAAAGTCGAGGACCATAGCTGTTACTCAGTGTGAACGAAGCTGATCCGTTATGTCCCTGATATTATCAAGGTTGCAAGCCATTTTGCACTACTAATATCAAAGATCGTTTTTTTTTTTTGCTCCTTTTTCGACATGAAGCTGTGTGGGTGTGGCATGAGCAACCGACTAGCCAATCGCGGCTCAAACGGGTGGATTGCACCAGAAACACATTTTGACATGTTTTTATAATGCAAAATACAATTTTCCATGAACATATGAAAGTTGCAAACATATAAAACTCACAGTAATACTGACAAAAAATGCTTCGACTTCTGGTACACTTCTTTGTTGATTTTCAGTATTGCGTGTTCCTGGATCCTTTCGTGCACGTGACATCATCTGGCTTCGTAAGCACATGAAGATGGATCCACAATGGTGGAGAACAGTCTCTTCTGTGGGCAGCTCTTACATAGCACGGTATCAAGTGTGGGAATTTCAGAAACAATGCTATGGTATATTAATTTTTATAGGTTTTGATCTCGTTATGCACTTTTTTTTCAGGAGAATTTAGGACCTGGTCGTGTATCTTTGGAATTTTGGACATCCCGGAAATCATCACGAGACCAGAGCTGGTTGTGCATAAGTTTAGCCTTGATATTCAACCAGCAGGTTACATGTGTCTTTTGAAGGTATGGTCTTTCTTAACTCATTCTGTATATATGTTCTCAAAGTTTAGGAAATTCGATATCGTAGCCATAATCCCATCGAATTCGATGCTGTCAGCTATAGCGAAATGCCAACGGTGGAACTACACAACGGAAAGAGAATTACGGAGTTGACACATCCTGAGTGGTTATTACAAAGCTCGTTTTATAAGTAGCAGTCGCTTTGCGATAGATTGTATCATATTTTTGTCGAGGACCTTGACAGAAGTGCATTCAGGCCAATCAGTTCTGATTCGGCCGTAAATTGCTTTGATGTGCACTTTTCCTTAGTCAAATAATAATAGTAATAATAATGTGCTGAGATCTTATCATTATGTGTGTTTGCTAGATTTGTAAGAAGAAGTTTATTTGCCCACGTTGAATCAAGTCATAAGAAATTGCAATTTACAGCAACCCAATCATGAAAGATTGACAAAGCTAATTGCAGAAGAAATATTTGAAAATTTTCACTCGATCTTGCAGTGGAATCGTTTACTGCCTGTATCAGCCGTCTGAAAGTAGTGATACTGAGCTTATCTCTCTTGACGTAGTATTATGGAATAGCAGGGGGCTTACAATTTTTGAAGAGGTCAAGAAATAAAAAAATAAAAGCCAAGACTTACTTTAACACCCATACAACAGTTAGGTTTCGGGAAGAGACAAATATCACCACCATCACAAGGCGGTGTATTCTGATCTGTGCTATTTCCTCTGCAAACAGTAAAACTGTAGGTTACAGTGGAGTAGATTTGTTGGTAAATGTAGTGCCCTTGTGGTAGCGAGAAAATGCGGTAAAATTGCGCGGGAACAATTAACTGCGCCTGCAATGCCTGCAACTTGCGCGCGCAAAATGCCGGTATTACAGACGTAACTATTTGTTTACGCCCAAATTTTACCGCATTTTGTCGGCACCGTAAGGGCACTATATTTACCGACAAATCTACTCGACTGATTGCAGAAATTTCTACTTACACGCAAGCCGTAGGAGGAGGAGTGGGACACCCGGCTGGGCTTGCGCATTCTCGAGTTCTTGTAAATCTTCCGCATAAACCGCAGGTATCAGAACATTCGGTACCGATAAACCATTCGGTCCATTCCGCAGTACAATCGGGACATAATTCCTTTTCCAGACGAGAGCCACTATAAGCGTAAATTACCTTCAGATCATAGATTCTCCAATGTGAAAGTTACCTGCAAAGGCTTAGATCGTCTCCTGGAATACAGACTCTTGAGCGACCACGAGAAACTGCACCGGAGCATTTCTGAAATTTCCACTATGGTTTTTTGAAGGCAAAATAGATGAAGCTTCTCACTAACACTGCATTCGGCTCCCCATTCTCCCCAAGTATCCCAGGATGGAGCAGCAGCATTCACGGCTAAAGATATGGCCACAAACACAATAGCTGAGCCGTACATGCTCAAAGAAAATAATAAATAACTCCTTGCCTTTTTCTTTCTCTCATTTTCAAAGATTTTGCCTTTTTGCAGCGGTTATTCGCTGAGGATTTACAATCAAAAAAGCCACCTACCTGTTTTCACCCTGGGTCTACGAGTGTGTATATCAGTTTGGAAAGCGAAAGCTTTACGCGGCCGTGCTTTATACGGAATGCAGCGATGGAATTTCGACATCGGCCATGACAGCTACGATCACAAATCGTTTTTTGTGTGGATCCAAGATCATAATTTTGCAGATCTTCGCTTTCAAATGAGCTTTGAGCTCAGTGCCAATTTTTTGCGGATCTGCTGATCAAAAAACACGAGCAATTTCGAACCTAATCTCAAGATGGATTTCGAAAAATGTAACTATAGATTGCGATTTTTCAAAGAGGTGCATTTGGAAACTCAGTCGAATGTTGTTGATAGCTCTTTTCAAATGAGGTCCAAGGTGGGATTATTTGTATTAATAAAATTAAAGTTGGTATTTTACGGTCAGTGTTCAGAAATTTGTGGGGCGAAATGAGGTCCAAGGATGGAATTGTGAACGTAAATCCAATGTTGGGTTCTATATATGCGAGATGACGAGGTTTAACTGAACCAACATCTCCATCTTTTGCCCCAGCTTCTGCATTTCACTTTTGGGAAAAAGATTATAGAAAACACCAAAGGTTATATGCACAAACCTCGCCTCCCTCTCCTTACTGCACAGCCGGTTAAAATATTCAAAAAGGAGAGATTTTTATTGCCGGAGGAACACCAGTTAGTGAAATTTTAGTGTTGAATAAAATCTTCCAAAACGCTTTAAATTGGTTAGCAAGTATGCAAAATCGTTGGCAGGGCTGATCAACCTCATGTTTTGGAATAAATTTAAAGTAAATGATATAGGTCAAAAACCTTCAAAATGCAACCAATGGCAATTTCGTGACTATTTCGATCAGTTCTTCACCAAAAGCCGTCAGATGTAGCGAGCGAGCGTTACTTCAAATAGTGAGCAAGCTAGCTTCGTCTGGTAATCTTGAAAGACGCTCTCAGTTCTAAATTTGACTGTCAATTTGTGAAAAAAACCGCAAAGATTGCACCGCTTGACCGTGTTCCGGTCAAAATGCCACAATGGTGTCTTCTAAGGTAAACCCTTTTCCGAAATTCTACAGTTCATCCTACAAGTGCACCTTCGACTTTTCCAATGGCAGCAAAATTTTGATCGCTGAACATTTGAACCGCGAAACATTCGAGTTCAACGAGCAACACGTGCGTCGTTCGTAGCTTGCCCGCGAAAAAGGCAGCTGAACAAAAAATGGCCATGTAGCTTGGGGAATAAAATCTGCTCAGACCAAGCCACTCACATTCGTGAGCTTCCGGCATGCTACTGTATTTGGTAGCGCTCTGCCTGGTTAGTCAAATTTTATCCGAATTTCGCGAAAATCAAAAAGAATTTTCCTAGATGGCAGTGGTACCATTAGCTTCCACAACCGTGTTCAGGAGAAAGCGTCAAGGTACTCAATCATCTGATTTTTTGCAAATTTCTTTTCTTCTTTCTATTTTCCTATTTGCACCGTCATAAAAGAAACTAATAAGTTTGCAATGATTTCAGCCTTCAGCTGCTCCAATTCGGGTATGACTGACGCAGCAAGGCTGCTTTTCCTCAACGCGCACAACGATGCTCGTCTAAGTGTTGCCCAAGGACTGGAACCGAACAAATGTGGATTCCTTGGTCCTGCCAAGAATATGTACAAGCTGGTAATGAATCATATTCTGCCTGTGCAGTAAATTCCCCAGCTCTTTTTAGGAATGGGACTGTGATCTTGAAAAGCAAGCACAAAATGCTATTCTCCTCTGTCCATCCACTATGGGAATATTTGCTTCATATTCACAAAACCTAATGAAGTTCGTTTGAGCCGCATGAATAGCTTGTCTTTAAGTGAAATTCCCTTTCAGGTTTACTGGGACATTCTCAGATCCTTTGACCGCCGTTGCAGCCGCTGTCAACAAATGGTGGAGTGCAGTTCGTCAGTACGGTAACACAGATCCAGACAACAAATACGTTGACACCAACCTTTATTCATTCGCAAATGTAAGTGGCTTGGAAAGAAACTTTTTTAAGTATTCGTTCTACACATTTTGTTGCGAATGTTTAGTTGTTTGCGCTTCTAAAAAAATCTGTTTTCAGATGGTACATGGAAAAACGACAGCTATCGGCTGCGCCTACAAAGTCTGCTCAGCTACAAACTCGCTGACCGTCACATGCCTGTACAATAAAATGTGTGGATGTCTAAATTTTTTGAAAAACCGTCAAAATACACCACATTATTTTCTGTAGCGGATACTACACAAATGGCGTAATGTTTGAAAACGGGACACCCTGCTCATCAGCGGCAGATTGCACCACCTATCCTGGATCTTCGTGCTCCGGAGGACTTTGTGTAAACGTTCCTGAGCCAGCCGGTAAGCTTCATTTCAATGATTTTTGCAGCCTGGATCTTATTGCTGAAATAGATAAATAAATTAGTAAAAGTAAAAATTTAGTAAAACAAATAAATCAAGAATAGAATATTAAAAAATTAAAACAAAGAATACTACCGTTTTGTCTATCTGCAGATACCGGTGCGAACACTATGTGCCCATCTAATGCGAATATGACCGATGCAAGCCGAAAGAAATTTGTGGATATTCACAACTATCTGAGGTAATCTAATAGTTTGAAAAAAAAATATCGCTGTTTTGGAATTTTCGTTCAAAATTGTTATTTCTCAGAAACTAGGGCACAGAGGCTGAAATTTTATGGTTGGGGTATAGAAAATTTGTAACACACAAGTGCCTTGTTGGGAGGAATCCAGGATTTGTGGGGGCGAAGTTTGTCATATTCCATTTTCAATATTTTCTTGATTTGACTATGAAGAAATATAGCAGATGTACACATTGGACAAGTGCTTATGTTTGCTACATTACAGGAGCATATGAGAAGTTTGTTGGATTTCCTTGGGGCATAGATCCGATTTTCGGCATTTTGTGTGGTTTTTCATATTTTAGCCTCACATTTGCGTAAATCACAACTTATGCGACTATTTCGAGGTCATCCTATAGAGTTTGATTTGCTATATCGAAAGTACCCCTCATATTTTTTGGCTTCGTCTTTTCGTTTTTCTGTAAAAAACAACTTTCCTTCCAACCTAGTGAGAGCGGCAAATGTTTTCTTAGGTCTCGTCTTGCTAATGGACTAGAGCCTGATGCATTGGGAGGAAATGCACCGAAGGCCTCAAAAATGCTCAAAATGGTAAGTCAACTCTGTTCTCTGCCAAACACTAACCTATGGAACTGCAGGTATACGATTGTGATGTGGAAGCTTCAGCGATCAAGCACAGCCAAAAATGCATTTACGAACATTCGGCATCGTCTGACAGACCAGGATTAGGCGAAAATCTCTATATGACAAGTGCTTTGAATGTTGACAGAGTGACAACGGCAGCTGAGGTTAGCTCTAGATCAAAGAGTCACGAATCTTCGAAAATCTTCTAAATACTTAGTCCTCTCAACTTTGGTGGGACGAATTGAAAGATTATGGTGTAGGGCCAGAAAATAATCTTACTCAAGCGTTGTGGAACAGGCCTGGAATGCAGATTGGACACTATACTCAGGTTATAATACTCCTCAAGCTCATTTTCAAACTCTCACATACTCTTTTTAGATGGCCTGGGATCGAACTTACAAACTTGGCTGTTCGATTCAGCACTGTCCAAAATTTACTTACTCTGTGTGCCAATACGGACCAGCGTAAGACCTCTTATGTTTATGATAATTCCATTCACAATTACTCTTTTAGTGGAAACTACATGAACCAATTGATCTACACAATGGGAGAACCTTGTACAAGTGATGCCGAATGTCCAGGATCATACACTTGCAGTGCGGCCGAAGGTCTTTGCAATGTCATCTGAGAAAATTAGGATATTGAAAGGTTACCACTTGCTAGAAGTTAATAAACATTCTGATTTTGTCACTTGCTTGATTTTTGGAAGCTGTGCTGCACATTATGAAAGAATCTTCATTGAAAAATAGCAAAAATATTCGTAAGGTAGAGATGACTAGTCAAAGTGGCCTTGCGAGATGTAGCTATCAGAGTACATGGACGCTGATCTCGGCTTTTTTTTTCATTCGAAGAGCTTTTTTGGACGAGATGTTATGAGCTCTTATTGCAGCAAAAATGGGATGCGCAAGTTGGGTGAATCATTCCTCAATGTTCTCTCATAACTTAGGCGATGCTAAGGTGAATATGGGCACATTAAAAGTAAATGATTTCAACTTACACTACAGGGTGTCCAAAAAGTATTGTAGCCTAATATTTTACCTGATAAAAACAGTGCGGAACAACGTAGAGATATAAAATTTGAAGCACACATCACTCAAACAACAACAAATGCAATTATTACTCAAATTTTGTGAAAACAGTTTTTCTTGTTAGCGGAAGCCTTCAAACTGTCGGCGATTGCCGCTGCCGTGGCACGCAGGTAGCCATCATCAGTTTCGTCCCACGCCTATACGAAGAGTTCCTATCGCATAGAAAATGTAAAGTATGATAGAGCAAGCTTCCAGCTACAATATACTTTAAAGAAAATTTTTTTTCAAATTTAGGACTGAAATTATAGGAATTTCAATGCGGCATGCACAGACCCCCCGTTAGAAATTTTGGACACAATAGCGGGGAATCAAAACAGAAAATCGACTACAAAATGTTTTGAAACCAAGTGTCATTTAAGTCGAACTAACATCTCATATATTATAGAAGACATATGGAGGGAATACACTTTAGATCCAGTGACTGCCTCACCACTACAGATTTAGAATTAGTTGTAAAGATATAGTGGCATGCACCCGAAATTTCCATTTTTTTTTGCCCGTCTCGATGGATCAGCTTTTGAGTGCAGCTACTACATCGATAGCAGTGCAAAGCCTCCTCTATAATGTAGACATGAAATTGTACCAGAATGTTCCAAATACTTCAAGCTGCGGAAGAAACCGTAAGCCTGAGAAAATAGATTTTTGCGGCTCTCAAAAAAATATGATTCGATAGTTCCGTTTTTTAAAAACATATAAAATCATTTTGGTCTTGCAAAAATGTATATTGTAAAGGATGATGGCAGCATCATGTAGCATAAATTTAGAATCGAAACTACCAGTGGTTTATAAGTTATAGCGATGCAAACTTAGGCTACAAGACTTTTAAGACACCCTGTAATTTACATGCATTGCCCTGAAAATCATCATTCTATTTTAGCTTGAATGCTATGAAGTGGGTTGAACCTAGATGCGCTTATTTTTTGCTCCAATAAATGCCCACGATTCCTCGTCCAGAAATGTTGCGCAGTTGACGAAAACGAGTTAGGAACCAAGGTTTCATACTCTTCAAGACTGTATACATTTCAATGTAGCAGGCCACTTCGGTCAACAGCCCTTGCTAGATGGACCCAGCTGCAGTGGCTAAGAAAAACATGTTGATTTCTACTAGATTTCGTTCAAACGCCATACTGTTTCAAATGTAAATTGTATAGCAGTGTTCTCTTCATGAAAACTGCATTCTGTTCGTTACTCAACTGTAGCACAATAATCGCTGTGCAAATGAAAATCTGTTCATAATCTAGAACAGTAGGGAGTTTTTTCTTTAGCAAACGAGGATTTGTAACACCCACCATACAGCCAATCAGCTGGCTCAACACAGTTCCCTGCAGCCGCACAGTTCCGTGCCTTTGCCGCTGATACCCTTGGATCCCCGTTTCGGCTCGGACCACCCGGGTTCCCGGGTTCGACTATCCGTTGTGTGAAGCGCTTTCAAGAGGTCATTGATATGTGTGCAGTGTGTATAGAAGACCACTCGTCGCGCCTCCGTTGGTCCGTTCTCTTAACCTCACACCCCGAACTGACGGCTGCCTGCTTCTCCCTCAGTTATTGTCACAAACACCTCTCATTGTCGCTATTACAGTGTGACAATTAGCTCACGACAGAAGACTTGATGCACGGTCTTAAGTAGTGACGCCAATGTAACGACAATACTGTTTACATTCGGTTCGCTACTTAGTACTGCGCTCATGTGTATCTTTGCCATTGTTAGTGTTCTCTATGCTAATGTCATTTATTAGAGCAGATCGCAAGCACTAAGAAAAAGAGGGGGCCACCAACATGAACGAAAGCTTGTGCCAGCCATATGCGTTGCGCAGGTAAATTTTTAATTTCTATATACACGCTATGATGATATCTAGAAAATTGGAAAAACGCTATGAGCTAGGTATGCCCTAATTCTTACCGTTCGACACCATTTTCACAGTGAAAAAAAAACATGCTGTTTCAAATGTAAAACTTTATGCGCTGCATATCGACAACCCCAGGTGTACAGTATGCTCATTTTCAGCTATCGTTCACATTGGCATACACTCGAAAAAGATAGCCTAAGTGCCAATAAAGCTCCATCTCTGAGTTTTCCAGGTTTGCCTGCTTGTTTTACTAATTACTCACTATGAAAATAATTAACTTCCATTTCCATGACTCTGCTTTGCGCTTAGACGAACTATCGAAATATATCTCGCTTACAATTAGTTGAAGGTAGTTGAGTCACAAATTAGCCAGAGAAGTGTTCGCTAACAATTTTTCTAAAAACTTCAAATTAAAAATAATCTACCAAACACGCCTTCGAGTAATTATTATAAGGGGCTTACAGTACAATCCTAGAGGCTGGGCTTTTCTCTGTAGTCGACAAGGTGTCTAGTCGGAAAATTACTTACGTTTTCCAACTTTTCATGCTGAAATGGGTAGTTTGTTAAAACATCACTTTACGCCACAAAGTCGCGTATAAGGCATTTGGAAAATCTTGACGATGGCGCGACCGCGCGCGACACGCACGCACTTTCCGGCAACCGCATTTTCTTGGATTTAATCTCTACAAGACTGGCTTTTCTTCTTAGGTATGATAGTCCCTGGACACTGAGTGACTGAGCTGGCATTGAGGTGATGCCTTTTTGTATGAGGGTGTTATGCTCCCGTGGGCGCAAAGACTGCAGTCAAAACCTTACCAGTTTTGGTTTATTGCTGAAAAGAAAAGAAACAACCACAACAAAGGATTTTGGTTTGGGTAATGGAGAAATTTTTACCGTACCTTGCAGTCTCAAATTTGGTAAAACAACAAAATTTTGTTGGTGATTGTAGAAAGACACTCCAATACGAGCATAAAAATAAATTAAAAGTTTTATTTGAGGAAAAGCTCGTCCAGATAGAACTCAAAAATCATTCATGGTCATAAACTTATTGTAGATCTGACTGCGACGGCGTGGATGCTCGACGATATGCACGTTGGTTCGTGAGCTCGACGCAGATCCTCTTGAAGTTACGCTGGATATTCGTCTGACTGTAAGTTAGCAGATTTATCAAAAAATAATCATATATGAATTTTTTCCAATTAGCTATATAAAAATCAAGGTGACGAGTATGGAGAGAACAGCTTACTCTTCAATCTCGCTGGATGTTTCCTATCAAAATCATCAACGAACGAACGTGTACGTGTATTGGGTGGATCGTTGAGGTACTGCAAATTTGTGTCGAATAAAATGATTATATGGTTTGATTTAAGAAGGCCTTTGACATTTTTCTGACATACAAACTAATAAAATTGTTTTCTCAGTAACAGTAACTGACCTGATCGAGATTTTCGTCAGAAACCTCAATAGCGCTTTGCCGTCGTAGATGGCGCCGCTCCATGGATCTATCGAATGTCAGCCTTTGACTAATAGGAAGATTCTTCAAGGAACGCTCTGAAAAATTTTGAAAATTCTTCAAAAATAATTTTGAAATTCTATAAAGATTCGCTTACCGATGTTATGACTGTTTAGTGTATTGAAGGTAGTGCTAAAATGTACATTTGTATGCTAGAAACTGACTACAAGTAAGATGATTCTCACCTTGTCCTTAACTCAGCTAGGGAAGGTGGGTGAGGCCTGTACAGTCGAGGGCGATTATTACCTTCTTCGTTCTCATCCTTGCTGAGGAAACTGTAAGACAATTTAAAGGAAGTACAATACAGGACGAGTTTACGCAAAGTAAGAAAAGTGTCGAATCGTACCGAACACAGTGGATCGATTTTCGCGGTGGCGACAGCATGGTAGTGGAAGCGATAGCATCTAATTCCTCTTTCACATCAAAGCCTGGCGGGGGCAAATGTAGTTTTTAGTGTAAGCTATTACTATATGTTTTAGAGCTAATGAACGATATATATTACCCTTAGCTTTTGGTGGAGGGCTCTGGTCCACTGATTGACCAAGTGAAGCATCTTCAAGTTTGCCTGATTTTGCTTTATAAGTTTGTAAGGCATACGATTTCTTCACGAACCTTCTTCTTCAATAGCTCCTTCATACGCTTCTTTGTATACTGACTGTAGAACTAGCTTCAGTAAAAAGATGAAAGTTTCCATGAGTGTTACACAGCTACATCCGAGGAAGAGCGATGTGCCTCCTCCAACTAGGGCTAAATCATAAAACTTTGTACAGAAAGCAAATTTTAAGTCATTCAAATAATCTTTTTTCAGAAATAAAAGGAATAGGTAAAATTCTTACATAGGACGTCGGTTATTGCCAATTTTCTAACTTCCACCAGCATTTCTTTTGTTTTACTGAATTGTATGGAAATTTTTACATCTTTGCTAATACGATTGTGAGATACTGTGTTGCGCCATCGCAGTTCGCTGCAGGCAGGGTGGCAAGGATAATCTGAAGGGATAGGAGAATTTTGAATTTGTTGAAGAATATAAACATATTGCTAAAGATGTTACAATCTCAGATGTCTATCCTAAAATTTTGGATTATGCGTAAGGGACATTATCAACTAGTACAATAAAGATTCAGGGCTCGGCACAGGTGGCCTATCGAGCTGCCTGAATATTGTTTTAGGGGCAGAAAGTAAAGGAGGTCGCTTTTGCGGTTTCGGGGCGGAGAAAAGGAGCAAGCATGCCACCGGCATGCAGATGGCGTGCTCTACCTTCCGGCCGGCTGGACGGCCAGCTGAGGTGGCGAAAAGAAACAGTCAAATCTCCATATATTTTTCCAAACTTTTTGCATAATTCTATTTCACATCCCATTACCTATGTCTTCTTGAATCGCCGCAAAGCGCCTCCTCCCCTAGCTACATCCACCACAAATTTTTGAATGATTGCAGCAGTGCTGCTCCAAGTGCGCTGTGATGCGCGGCGGAAACAGCATGCCGCCAAAGCAAACCATACAAACGTCATTGTTTACTTTTTTAGGTTTTGGAATGTTTTTTGTTCAATTCTGCTTTTTTCTTTTTCTATGAGCACTTCAAAGGGCATGTCGTGAAAGTGCGATGAGGTCAAGGGGGACTTCCTATGCTAAGAATTGTTAGAGCCAGCTCGTGCCGGGCACTAGAAAGACTTCCTTATAATTAAGCTGGCTTTCATGAAAGTTATTTTATGCCTGCAATAATCGAAAGTAGAAACTTTGAGCTAAGTTTTGCCATAAGCCCAACATCGCGTTATAGGCTCTTCTTGGCAGCGATGGTACTGTACTCAGACAATCGCAGATGACTTCCGGGGCAAACTGAAGTTCTAAATCTTCCGTGGGACACTCCTAATGGAGCTGCCAGGTAGGGCAGGGCAGGATAGGGCGCGGCCACCAACACGGCCCAATAGTAGCGCCCTCCCGGAAGTTTTAGAAGTTCAGTTTGCCCCGGAAGTCATTTGCGCTTGTCTGTGTACTGTATCCTACCGTTCAATTATTTAAGTCTTGAACAATCTTCACAGAACCTCTCTTCTCACCTTTTTGCAAACTCCGCGCAGGTAACAATCTGTTTTCTTTGCATGCAGGAGGCCCTCCGAGCGCATAAAAATTATCAGGTACACAGCGTTTTTCTCGTAGTGACCACTCGAGAATCTGCATCCGTTCGCACAACTGCAATCACCATTGAAATGAATAAATAGTAATTAAATGAAGGCTAAACTTACTTGCAAAGAATAAACCTGCTTATGTGGAAGAAATGGCAGACCCGCAGATATCCAACTCAATTCAGAAAAGTTATTAGTGCAAGGTGCACGTGCTGATGCTAAGCGTGTTTGCTGAATTAGGAATCTCGTGCACTCTTTTTGAAAGGGGAGTGCTCAGAATTTTTTTCATTAAATTTTTCTTGTGAAAGAGTCAAATTACACACTTGCCCACTTGAGAAGCCTCTACAAATATTCGATGGTGATGGCCATCCCTAATGTAGATTGGCGAAGTGGATTTTAAGTTTGAAGAGGAAATCATTATGTACATATCGGAAGGAAACAACGCTCCTAAAATTTTTCAAGTAGCAAACTTAGTAGCTCTCCTAAGGATTTCTTACCCTTCTCTGCAATCACATAAATCTGAAGTTCGAATGAACTTGCAGTTATCTCTAAACAGCTGCCCTTTCTGTTCCTTTTGGTATAAGAAGGGGCTAACCGGACATCCAAGAAGTCTGGTACTCTAAAGCTGAGTGTAGAATAACAAAATAGGGCAAAAAATGCGTTCCACCAACTTTGAAGGTCGGCAGAGTAATACTAGGATTTCATCTACTTTAGAATGTTCTATATGTCGACGCATGAATGTATTTCCTTCAGCATAATTAGAAAGAATATATCCGCTCTAAAATGAACATTGTATCAAAAAAAACTTCTGGTTTTATCCCCAAGAATGATTTAAGAACAGAATTACTTACAAATATCATGAAAAACACTAAAGAAGTCGATACGACTATAACCCAAAATATTAAAGATGTCCATGTTCCAGACGAAAAAATACGTATCTAAAAATGTGCTTAAGAAGCTGTCTGGTTTTACTCGAGTAATTTTGTTGACATACCATTCCATGAAATGTGGTGACGCCGGTAAACTCCCTACCCTCTTCGTTACATATGTGCAAATATATATTCCGTATGACTTCTTTGTCTTCATCTTCGTTATCTGGAATAGAGTCACTTTTGCGAAATTGTTTTGAGCAAAATGTGTTAGGTGCGTCCGAAAGTTCGCGCCGTTTTGGACCTATCTTCAAATCATTCAGAATAAATATAAACAAACACTTTAAAAAGCGTTCTAGGCGGAATTTCTTCCTCCTTCCAGCAGTAATGTTTTTGTTCGGATTCCTTTGATGCAGCTCGAAAAATCGTCAGAATCCACATTCCATGGTTTTTACCTATGAGTTTTGCTTTTTTGAATTTTCGTTCGAAACTTCTGGAAATGCTTTGATAACAATTAGATAGAGTAAACAAAAAACAATGCATTACAATTTCTTGGCATCTATAGCTTTCTTTTCAAATTTTCTAAAATTATCGTTTCGCCAAATTTGATATTTGTTTATCTCAATCCTCATCAAACATCAGACGGCAAATAACTAAGGTGTCATTCACTGCAGCTTCTCCTCCCCTTTTTGACGGATGCTTTTTTCTTTCTAATTCGTAAAGGCCCTTAGTAAAAAACTGCCATACTTCTAGTTTTTTGATGCGTCCAAGGCTGCATTCGAAAAAATCGAGATTCACTATTTGTGGCGGTAGAAACTCATTTGTTTTTCAGAATTAGTGATTAGTCATAATCGATTTTTGGAAGTTTCAATTCGCAAACATTTCATATTGTTTGAAGCGTTTGTACATTTACGACTTCTTAAATGTGACGACTTTTGAAAAATTTGTTCCTAAAAATACTGAAAAGTCAGCTATCGATGCCAAGAATCGGGTTTTGTAGCATTTCGTGTACTCTATCCAACTTTTGTCAGAGCTTTCCCTAAAGTCTAAAATGAAAATTTTGAAAAACAGCTAAAACGGAGGCGAATGTGGCGCTTATTTGAAAAAAAAAACATTGAAAAATCCGAACAAAAACAACTGCTGAAAAGAGGAAGATTCCGCAAAGAACAATGCTTAGAGTATGTGTCTATTGTTACCCTGAATGATTTGAAGGTAGAAAAACGGCACCAACACCTAATATATTCTGATGACCCACCTAATATATTCTGACGCTATATAATACAATATTTCTCGAATAATTTTATAAAGCAATAAATGGAAAGCTAAGGCTACCTTCATCATCGGCGTCCTTCCCATTTACTTCATTAGACGTTTGTGAAGTAGAAGTCATATTTGACTCAAGTGATTCAAGCGCTAAAATCGCTATGGTGATAGTGGGTGCCTTATCTTTGCGAGCTAGAAACTGGAGGAACTCGTAGTGATAAGGATCCAAGCATCATATATCGTTTCTGCGAAGAAAATATATGACATCATATTGGATTGATTAGTATTCATAACAAGCATAAAATTAAGAATCTGAACATAATGCTGCACGACCACTGTTTGAAAGCTCAGATCTCGCAAAGACATTGGACCATGATTTTCCTGTAGCAATACCAAAAAATTTTCTTAAACTAAAAAGCAAACCATAGCATCTTTGAATGTGCCATCCTGGACTTGAAAATATGTATAATAACTGAATTATCCCACTCAGTATAATAAAATGGGCTGTTTCAATAGGATAACAAATTTACTCACTCTAGATTATATATCAGTCCTAATGTCAAAACTGCTATTGTTTGAAGTGATATTTTGATATAGGACCTGCATAAAATCTGAAAACTTTTGAAAGTTTAGAATTACTTGAAGATTGACTTTTATGATTAAGATATAATTCTGACATCGTTTCTTATGCATGATCAAGTGTTTCAATGCAAGTAAATGTATTATATATCATATAAGTAATGAACCTACAACCATTAAAATACAAAAATGATGGTTACATAAATGTTCATAAAACTGAACCATGGCTGATCTTTATTTTGATCTTTTCGCTCTACTCCGCAAGTATAAAAACACCCTAAGACGAATTCTTCTCATATCACCACTCTTCCCTACTTACGAGTCCCGGAAGTGGTTATTAGGGTTGTCCCAAAAGTTTTGACGGTTTTTTTCAACGACTACAAAACAACGTACATTGAAGCCCCAAATGAGTTTCAACATGCATTCAATGCGGCTTTTCCTTTTCTTTCTTATGGTAACAATTTCGAACCAAAATCCTCTATGATTTTTCTGAAGATTGCAAAATTTTTCACCCATCATTTCTATCTGCTCTAAGTTGGCTAATTTTCGAAATTTTATTTCAAAGTTTAGGAAAGGATTCAATACGGCACAATTAGAGCAAATCTCGGACTATATCTCAGTGCTTTTGGATTCTCCTGATAGACTGTTTTTAACTCTAAAAATTTATTTTTTCAGAGGTCTCGATTTTTGGTAAACTCATGAAACACGCAACTGCAGCAAAACCATGAAAGCTTCCAGAATTTTTGGAAGTTGAGAACTGATGGTTATTAAACATCATTTTTGCAACATAATCAAGTTCTATTTGCTTTAAAAATCAGCTCTTTGGAATTTTCGGTACTCTCACATGCTAAACGTGGTAAAAAAAGCGATTTTTTTCAAATAATCAGTTATTACAGATTTAATAAACATGATAAACGCAAACTAAAATGGGTGTGATGAAGCAAAGGTTTGCTCTACATAACAGCTACCGCTCTTCAAATTTCAGGATAAAGATTTTGAAAAATTCAGGAAAGTTTTGGCGTTAGTGCTGAGCTTCTCGAAAAGCCATGGGGGTAACTAAGTAATGTGCACAGGGATAGAGGGGAAACATGCATAACGAGCACATTACTTCTTACTATAACTATAATTTTTATTGGCAAATGAATCACAGCTTGTACGCAGAGCTAATCTTCTTCCTCTTCAAGATGCACTTGTTCCAAATCTACAGTTACAGCGCCTCTTCGAACTCCGAAGCTACGGATAAATTCCATTGGCTCCTGACAATGAATTTTATCAAAATGTAGTGGCTATTTGGTAACATGGAAAAATCCTTTCACTTACGGAATTGCAGTTGTGGCGAATCCTGAGGTAGGGCTGAAAACTGAACAATTCATCATCATGCCCATCAATTTCGAAATCTCCATTGCCGTCCACAAGTTTCCAATTGAGCAGATCCTCCTCGAGAACTCAAAGCAAAGCTTTTTTAGAGTTACTAGGAAAAGCTTTTCTCACTAGACTTACTATCTTTTTCCCTCAGCTCGAGAAGCACCACAGCATTAGGATTTTTATCACAGTAGAAAGTACCCCTCACTGTAATTCTGTGAGCTCCGGCGAAGACTATAAGGACAGCTGCAAAGAGGACAAGGCACAGTATGTTTGACATCTGCAATTAGGAAAATTTGAAAAATCTGAAAGTGAGCGTTCTTCTTTGTAATGGATCAACGTATATATGTGATCTGCATTGAATAAGAACTTCTAGATATGAATTCAAGGAATTGAGCATGTTGTTCATTGTACACCGTTGATGGCGCAAAAAATGAGGAACCCAGTTTTTTCATTGTGCGCAAATTTAAGAAAAGAATGCTTTCTCCAGTAACATTTCAAAGTGACAGAAAAAAATTATTTCTACTATTCGCTAAACAGAGAGGCCTTTAATGTATTCATATACCAAATTACTCATCTCTACATTTATCGCAGCATGAAAATGAAGTCTGAAAAGTTAAAAAATTCAGCTTTTAGAAATTCAGCCATGTTGGGGCATAAGCGTCTTAGTAGAAAATTCTGAGTAGTTTGTATGTGATAGCAGAAGCTTTAACTATCCCTCCAGAAATGAATTTAGCAAAAACAAGGAAGGTTTTTATGGAGATTTGCATGAAGAAACGAACTTATTTTGAGCCAACCTAATAGTATTTACCGTGCTCAAAGTTTGCCATTAGATGACTTTCAGAACTAATTTGAAACCTACTGAAAACTTGTCAGAAGATGACTGTCGCAGTGTTTGGATCTGCATTTTTATATTGACCGATTTCCCATGTTTCTAGATGTGTTAGTAATCATTGATACACTGCAGTCTAAACATATTTAGTAAGTGCCTTTCACAGAAATTGTCGTCGTCCATGACTAAGGAATGCTGAGGACGTGTCGCCTGACTTTACCAAAACATTAGAAAATATTTCTAGAATGAATGCACAACTTTTCATCTGACCTACATCTAAGTCGGTGAATACGCATTGATCAAGCAAAAAATAGTAATAGCTTTAGTTTTGCTGAAAGGAACTTAGAAAAAACAAGTGAGAAATCAACAAAACCTAGAGCCACACACCCGCCCTTAGTTGGGAAAATTGATATTCGGTTGTGATAAAGCTTGACTTTTTAGAAGCAATCATAAATTCATAGAAAAAAATATAATTGGCGGATAAAGCAGTATATATGTTTTTTTTGGGGGGGGGGGGGGTAAGTTGTCAGAAAAAAATGACTCAGAGTACTCAAGGACAATCAAAGACTACTTGGGTATTATATTTCTGCCCCAATTTTCTTGTATCCTTGTGCTCAACTGAACTCATCACAGATTCACGATTACTCATTCCATCTTCAGTTTATGCTACATATGTTATGCGCAAAGCGATGGTTTGATGTGATGACTCACTCACAACAAATTGTAAGTGTATATATTGGTAGAGTATCATAAAAGTTGCCTGTTCACTCTCACTCATTTGCCATCTTCTTGAGAAATGAACCATATCACGCTGAAACTCCTTCTTGCTTCTGCTCTCATTGTAGCTACAAGTGCGCACAACATAACTGTGAAAGTAAAAGGTCAACTAATATGTTTGAATAAACCTAACCTCGAGGTTTATATGGAGCTTCGCGAAGTTGATAGTGAGTTTATTTATCGCAATACTTCGCGATTAGTCTGTAACGATATTATTACAGAAAATATGCCTGATGATACCCTAGCTTGGAAGTTTGTACCAGTGATGCAGCCCTTTGAAATCGAAGGTAGTCACGATGAATGGTTCAGCATTAAACCATATCTGCGAATTTTGCACATGTGTCGTGAAGTAAGTACAAGTTTTCTCAGCTTACAAGGGAACCGTTTAGTCGAAATGACCTTTTCAAAGGAGATGTATACCATATTGAAGGGCTTAAGATGTTGACTCCATATCTGTCTTCATTACCTGCGGAAGTTTGTGATTGGAGCCAAAAGTTGAATGTTAGGATAAAAATAAGTTGCTAAAATTTCACTAGCCCTCAAACAAGGCAAGAGTGTGATATACTTTTATTTTAGGGTATTTATTGAATAAACAGTGATAATTATGACCGCTAGAAAAAATATCGAATATTTTACTCCTACTTGCACATTAGATTTTGTGCTCCAATTAACGCTTATAACTCCTCGCGTATAAATGTTCCGCAGGTGAGGAAGGCAAAGTTATCAGCATTTTATGCCCTTCACTAGTGTATACATCACATTTGAAAAGGCTACCTGAACTAAACATGGTTCCCTTATTAGCATATTAGCAAATGGCACGGTAATGTTTCCTCTTTTACAGTACAAAGAAGCGATTATTGTGAGATTTGGAGAACGAACCAGTGATACAACGATAAATATAGGCAAGCAGGATTTGGGCGATAAGGCCACTAAATATTGGATTCGTAATCAATTCAGAATATGAGATTGGCAATGGGTGAATTTATGCGATATGAACAATAAGTAATTCCTGTGTGACATGTCAAATCATCTATACGCTGTGTTTTGGTTTTAGTTGAATAACTTATGAAATCATTTGTAAATTTTCTTGTACTTCTTCAGTTCACCGTAACTCTTCGTAGTGCTCCCTGCTACTTTTGATTGTTATCAAAATTATTGGCAATCCAACCAATCATTGCTGTACTGTAAGGTTTGACGCTTGGTTAATCTGTATAAATAAGGTTGAATGTCTGTTTGTATGTTCTGTGTGTCTCTACGTATGTTCCGAATAGAAATTTTTATTTTTGAAGCTCCGGATTTAGACCAAACTTCACAAAAAGAGCGGGGCGGTCGAGTGTCATAGGCTAGTTTTCCTTATCGATGGATATCGAGTTTATCGAATTTTCGCGAAGTTTGAGCTACGGGGCTGAGAACTGGCACAGGGGGTAGGTAAGCACGCTGGTTGCGAATATATTTTTGACAGGGCCGGGCGGAGCTGGGTTTGCCAGCCAGTATAAACTTTTGAAAGAATTTTGGCAGGTCTAAATAAAAGATTATATAGGGGCAATGACCGTACGCACGTCCAACTCTCGCGATCCTGCAGGCCCCTATAACGAATTCAATTCAAGTTTCTAAAGTTTCGACTTTGGATCGAAATAGCTTTATTAATATTCATTTTTAAAAATTTGTAAATTTCTGCTGTTCTGCCGGATTTGCTTGTTTCTAATTTCATCAGAAAGGGGAAGTCCTTCTTTTTGTAGAGGTATCTCGGTGAGCTTCAACTATACACTCATTGCAGATATAAAAATGGAAAAAAAAGACCAATCGAGCATTGAGCATTTTAAGTTAGGTCACCAAAAGTCTAGAACGCCGCAGAAAATCTTTGTCAGTATATAAGTTTTATGAACTACTCTAAGCATCTGAGAAAAAATTATGCTGTTTGGACGTTTCAATAAAGCTATGATTTCCGAGAAAAGTAACAGATTAATCAATTTTGGCGTTTTCTATTGTGAATTGATTGATTCGAATTGTATCTCTGCAATGAATGTATAGTAGAAGCTCATCAAGGTACCTCTACAAGAAAGAAAATCCCTTCTTTCTAATGAAATTAGAACGCAGCAAATTTGTTGAAATAGCAAATAGTCACAAATTTTCAAAAATGAAACGACAGAACTTTCGGAACAATCTAATACAAATCATCTTTTCGGGACAATGAGAACTCATGCAATCAGCAAGTCTTCATCGTTTTAATGCTATTATTTTGTCGATGTAGCACCATTAAAAAAGATCTTATAGCCCATGGAGTAAAATAACTTCTCAAATGATTATTCAGCGCATAATCAGATCTGGTAAAATAGCAAATCTCACTAATTGTGTAGACAATAGTCGGTTGGATAGCAGTCGCAGGCTCAATGTTATGGAAAATTCGCTGAAAGTTTCTGCGAGAAACTTGAAAGCAGCTGCTTTCTATATATCTACGGAAGCTAAAACTGCACTTTTTGCAATTTTTTATTTTTTTTCGCTGGAAAGCTAAATAGTCCGTTTTTGTAATTAATTACGAATTTAATAAATTTTTTGTAGATTCAGAGCAATAAGTCTAACAGAAATAAATTAGAGATTCGTTCTTTGTAATCAAAAGTATGACCGAAATGAATTCGCTTCTTTGTGGAAATTGATTTGATCTAGTACTTCAAAAAATTGCAAAACGTGCTCATTCCCATCCAGGAAAAATTTCTTGTTGCAGCAGCTCCTCATATAAGCTACGCGGAAGTAATGAATCGATAATTTTCGCTTATTCCTGGTTCTTGTGGTTGAGAAGAAACGAACGATGGGGAACCCTTCAACTCAAATGTATTCAATCCTATCATATATCCTGTTGATAGAACTTTTAGGCTGAGGGGTTTTAGCAAGTAAGCTTGATATGATGGTACTGATATTTATTGCTGAAGAGAAGAGTTGAACGAATTTTCATGCTGCTGTGAACTCCACCTCAGAAGTTTTCGCAGCTTTTAAACAAGTTTTCACATTCATAGTTGCGCTGAATTTGCCAATCTGTTCTATTGTAGATCTATCCGGCTGTGGTAACAAAATAATTCGTTATGAATTCGTGTGTCGACAGATTTTAATTTGAATAGTTTGACGTGTTAGCATGACATACGAATGATATATCATCAATAGCTTCAAGGATTTTTTGTGGTATTTTTCTACTTGGAGATGCCTAATATGTGGGAAAGACCCCCACCCGTTTTGATGACTGACAACGTATTTGAGGAGCTTTGAAGTACTAAACTCAACCGCGTTGGAAACTCTATCTGTTACTTTCCAACTTTAACGGTTAAAACTCCGTATAAGGGTGCCTTCATACCGCGCCGGCAGCCGCCGCTAGCAGCCCGTAGCAGCCGCCAGCAGCCGCCAGCAGCCGCCAGCAGCCCGTAACAGCCGTCAACAGCCGCCAGCAGCCCGTAGCAGCCCGCAGCAGCCCGTAGCCGCCGCTGGCCGCTTTTGTTATAGGAACGCAAACTCATCAGTACTTTGAGAATCTTAGTATCCCTCCCTATTCTTTTCATTTCCACGCTTTTCCTTATGTTGCTACCATGTGTAGTTCGACTCACATATCATTTTTGTGTCCATTTCATTATCTTGACGCCGTATAGTTCATTTTTTGAACCATAGGTCGCAGAAGTTTCTTTCCTTTGTGATTTCCTCTGACTTTGAATGCTTTTCCTGCAGGTGTGCAATTTGTTCACTTTTTGAGTATGCTTTTGCTTCAGTCTTCTTGTTAGATACCGATGCATATCTAAATTGCATTCTATAATACTATTTCGCAAGTTTGCAGTGATTCGCGGGTGGGTTTTTCTGATGACAATCGCTGGCAATCGTTATAGACAAAATAGATTGCAAAAGTGGAATGTAGGCATAGGAGGATGCAAAGTGCGGCAACAGAACAATGGAGCAAATGTAATGTGTGAAATTAAGCTCACATTCGCCGCAAGAGAAGAAAAAGCGTGGAAGATGAAAAGCGTAGGCAAAGAGTAAGATTCTGGTAATTTTTCGCTCCGGATAAAAAGCGGCCAGCGGCTGCTACGGGCTGCTACGGGCTGCTACGGGCTGCTACGGGCTGCTACGGGCTGCTACGGGCTGCTCTCTGACATTCGGTCCGTGCGGCGCGCGCTTGTTAATGGCGAGCAGTGTGGCCCGCGCGCCTAGATTTACGGGCGGGGTCACGTACCGTGCGGCCCGCGCGCCTTGAATCCTTAGCGTACGACCCGCGCGCACTATGTTCTCACCGTGCCGCCCGCGGCCTCCAATTCTCACACGCTATAAACGTAATGGGTACCCGCGTGAGGTACGACGCTGTATTAGGCTGCTCCATCACTTGTGAAGCTGACTTATCATTTCTTGGCATTTGAGTAATCGCAGGAACATAAGAGGTTTTTTGCTTCTACGGAGATTATCCCTCGACAGCGTCCCGAATGGGTGCTAAATTTGAATTTTTGAATTTTAGAATTCAAATTCAAATTTTCGAATTTTTCAAATCCGGAATTTTTTTTTGGAATGTAAAGTTGAGAATACTCACGGCACGACGAAAGAAGAAAAAGAAGCTCTATGAAAGACTTATTCTCTAGTAGCGGACGGAGCGCTTTCGATACCGTGCGGCCCGCGCGCATTCACCGTTCGGCCCGCGCGCATTCACCGTTCGGCCCCCGCGCAAGGAGCGTTCGGCCCCCTCGCACTACAACGCACCGCACGGGGAGCACGCGCGCGCCGCACGGACCGAATGTCAGAGTACGGGCTCCTACGGGCTGCTGGCGGCTGCTACGGGCTGCTACGGGCTGCTGGCAGCTGCTACGGGCTGCTGGCGGCTGCTACGGGCTGCCAGCGGCGGCTGCCGGCGCGGTATGAAGGCACCCTAAGAACGATAGAGCTTCTAATGCCGCAAAGCTGAGGAGTCATTAGCTACAAACTTACGCAACATCCAAAAAATTTGCTCGAGAGAATGTAACGGGCGTTGAGATGGGATGTCTGAAGGTAGGGGAATGGTCCTGAGGCAAATGTTCGAACAGGATCTTTGGTTGACTTATGAAAAATGACTGGGCAAGAACAGGGTCCGGCACAGATCGTATGGAAATGAGCTGGACTTCGTTTTTGGGGCGAAGAAGCAAAGCGGATATCGTTTTTGTGGATAAATGACCCAAAAAATTGCGACGTTTTTCATGTCCACTTTTCGTTTATTTGATGGTTTTTTTACAGATATGGTTTGGGGTGAAAGGAAGCTTCGTAAATTTTGGCGAAAGTCAAGGGGGACTTCGTTTTCAAAAAGCCTAGATACGGACTCATGCCGGAGCCTGGGCAAGGATGCGAGTGTTTATCTCAATGCAGCTAAGAATTTCCTTATTAAGTTGAAGACTAATTGAGAATCTGACAAAGCTCCTTGCTTTTCAGAAGCTTTTCTGTCAAAGCTAGTCGCTTTTAACGTTTATATCAAAGTTATGCTCTCTGCTACTTCGAATAAGTTCCCATATTCATAACTCTTGTATTATGGAAGAAGTCGCAAAAATAAAGAGAGTGCAACAAATGTAAAAATATAATAATTAAAATAAAATAAATTGTAACTTCTTGTAGTGTCGTCATGTGATTTTTGTGTGGTACCTGTGGTACTTAAAGAGTTAAATGCTGTCAGTCAATGCTCATGCCTTCCCTAGAATACATTAAGGCATGTTGAATACTTTGGACAATTATTCTGTCGCGATTTATCGCAGAACACCTCACTCATTGTCAGTTGAACTATTTAAAACCCTTCTTCGTTGTGAAAGACATAACGAGTTGGAAATTCCACTTTCGTTTTCTTGTTTGTCGATTTTCGCTTATTTATATTTGATAACCAGCAATATCTAGTAAATTTTAATACTTGACAATCTTTAGCAAAATTAGTGATTAATGTTGTTCTTATAGAATACCGCTTGAAAATACTAAAAGTTCTACGCTATCTAAGTTCTAAAGCTTAACGTTTCTTGCGTTTGAGTTCTTCGAGGGATTGTTTATAAATCATTCACTTCGGATCACGATATATTTGTACTTCTCACTGATATTCGCGCTGGAGCTCAATATCGCCCATGTCCACAACTTCTTCGCCTTTACGACGTCCAAAATCATAGAACTGTTCCATTTGTTCCTAGCAATATATAATTGGAAGACGGGTTATGTTGCAAAATTATGCCACTCACTTCATTGCAGTTGTGTCGAATCCTCAGATAAGGCTGAATACTGAAATATTCATCGTCTTCTCCATGGATTTCGAATTCTCCATTGGCGCTCACTAGCTTCCAATTGAGAAGATCCTCAACGAAGACTCAAAGAGCAGGTTTATTTGAGCTACTACATAGTTGTGAGAAAACTCTCCAGAATCATTTACTTACCGTCTTTTTCGCTCAGTTCCATGAACACGGTAGCATTCGAGCTTTTACCGCAGTGAAACTTGCCTTTTACGGTGATTTTGTGGGAACCGGCTGAGACGATAAGGGCAGTGAAAAGAACAAAATACAGCATGCTTCACAGCTATGTAGTGTCCTGCAAACCCGAAAATTTTATTGAAGTCTACGGAATTTCTATTGTTTTTATTGACTAGTGAAACTTAAAATGATTTGCAGATAAACATAAATATCTGTATTTTTTAAGTGCAATCTACTAACCCATAGCCTAGTCCGCATTCCGTAATATTCACTGTGGCTGAGAAATCCAACTCTAAAACTCACCCAGAGCGTAATTCTACCACATTTGGAGACGTTTCAGTTCACTTGTGACTATACTGACTAACTAAAAAGATTTCTGAGTTTTTAGAAAGGAACTTAATGAGCTAACGATTGGGCAAAGGCTTTTCAAATGAATCTCAAGCTACTGAAATTTCAAGGAAATCCGATGTCTTCGCGCTAAATTTCAAATCTTACGTAATGTTTTTTTTCTAATGTGCGGCAAGGTTTTGAAACTGAAATCAAGAACTTTCAGAATGCAGTTCTGGCTCTGTACTTTTATGAATGATATTCTATGCTTTCAAATGAGTCAGTAAGTATTGACACACTGAAGTCTAAACAATATATGTTGTTAGCGTCATCCTTAACAGTACCCGGCATCATCATTATGACTATGTGGTGCTGAGCATATGTAGCTTGAATTTTAACACAGACAAAACATCAGAGGCGAATCAGCTTGAGAAAGCAGCATAACGGTAGCGGAATCTGAGAAGAAATTGTAGCTAGACAGGCTACAATATTCTCCATTATTTTTGTGGGCAGAAGAGTTAGTGTATCGGCCGAAGCAGTTGAGACACATTTGAAGAGTTCCGAAAAAGCATAGAGCATTGCACCTAATCTTTCTTAACCATATAATGCAAGTACTCCTTCATCGCACTGTGTGAGCATCTAAATCAGCAATGTAATATGAGCGAAAAGTGTTAACAAGCGGTTTAATTCGAATTGTATCTTTCTAGCCGCATTGGTAGAGATGTATCAAGAGGTGAAGAAGATATAACCAAGGTATATACGTTTTCTGAACAATGCAAGCATTCTAAGAAATTTGAAGGATCTCAGTCAGGTTTTTTGAAGCATTTCTAGTGCTATATTTTTGCATCTAACAAGGGAATGGTCAGAAGTCGAAGTGGCCAAACCAGAGAAGCTGTGTATCATTCGATGCAGTATAAAACGCTGACTTCAAATCTGTCTTCCTTATCTGCTTGCCGCTTCTGTGGACGAAGCTACAAGCGGTTTTATTTTGAAAAAATCACACATAAAAACAGCGAAATTGAGCACACTGTTGCGCTTTTAGCTCAGCTTCTGGCTTCAAAAATTTTGAGTAAGCTAGCGACATGTTTTGGCCCAGCATTGAGGCAAGCGTGGCTGTGTACGGCTAAATTTTCAATTTCACGCATGATTTCTTAGCAAAATAATGGTCCTTAATGGCTTATAGCTTCGTCCGAAAAAGCGATAAGCAGGTAAGGAAGACAGATTTAGTGTCAGCGCTTCATGCTGCATCTAACGGTATGCAGCTTGTCTGGAATGGCCACTTCGATTTCTGACCATTCCCTTGTAAGATTCACACCGAGAGTTACCAGAATGGTAACAAGTTAGGAGCAAATTCCACGGAGGAAAATTCTAGAATCCTATACTTTTTCGATGCTCTCTATTTCTCCATCAACTGTGCTTGGAAACAACCCGCAAAGGTCTGAGATTATATAAGCTGTCAAAAGATGTGAACACTGTTTGATCATCAATAACTCTCTTGCTTTCATGTCTTTCGCCGAGCTTGAGGTACCCTTTTGTAGAGCGAGGTTCCACTAACAAGGGAGGTCCGATTAGTCGAAGTGGCCTTTCCAAATGAGTCTGATACCACTTTGAAGAACATCAAACGTAATTTCAAATCTTATCTCATTATCTGCCAAGCGCCTTTGCATGCCGAGTTATGAATATTTTTGGTGTGAAAAATGAACGCATAATTTAGGTATGATCAAGTATTACGGTCTTTTCAGCTCTCACATAGAGCAGTTTTAGGGTGAGTGTTCTGGACAGAAGGTATTGTTTGAATGCAGTGCTCTGATAATCAACATTGGAACATGTGAGCAAGGCAAATTTTGTGCTAATTAAGTACTCAATTCTTCAACGCAAGAAAGGCTCATAACTCGACATTCAAAGGCGCTCGGCAGATAACGAAGACAGATTTGGAAACAGCGTTCAATGCTTTTTATAGTCGTATCAATTTCATGTGAAAAGGCCACTCCGACCAAACGGACCTCCCTTGTAAGTCCTACAGGAGTGAGCAAGTCATCAATCACTCTTCGTTACTGTAGGATTACGGTATGAACTTTTAGCATACAAATACAATGTGGAGTAGGCTTTTTGATAAAAAATAGTCCAAAAATCGGAATATTTGTGTAGCAAGGTTTTCAGGCGTGCTGATTACACACCACAACTTCTTCCAGTTTTCGAGCTTTTCCAATGGTGTAATCACACTTCCGACGAGCATTGGAAAACAGTTGTTACCCTAAATTTGGCATAGCTTATGAGAAGCACTACATTGAAGTCAGGGTCAAGCTTGTGATGCGACTGTCGCAACGGGGAGTCGTAAAGGAGGCACCGGCGGTGGGGGGGGGGGTCATAAGAGAGGGTGCTCCGAATTGAAAAAGTATGGAAGGTAGGAAATAAATTCTCAGTCGCAAACATTCTCTACCCTTCAAAAACAGCATTTTTTCCCCTGCAAAAAAGGTGTCGCAGACGGGGATCGAACTTGCCGGCCACAAGTATGACCGAAGCTTCCAAAGATACTTTCAGAAGCTAACACTAGGCATGCATCAATGACAAGGATGTCAAATGTACCAATTGGCCTAGAAATCCTGGTTCCGAAGCATCACTGAAGTCTCACATTCTCAACAAAAGCGCTCATTCTTACCAGCGACAATCATCGATAATTTTTAAAACACTTTTGTTGTGTCTTTCAAGGGCCCATACAATTTACCTGTACTTTAGAAATGCTCTGCTACCGTTGCGCAAAATCTGGTCACATTTCATAGCTTGTGGATTTTTTTAAAATTTTATGTATGGCAACGAAAAATGAAGAAAGGGGGGGGGGGTCGTATCTGGGTCGCATCTAAATTTTTTCGCCGCTATGGAGGCCTGCTTGCTGCAATTTTGCTGCATTACGAGGCCATCCTCCTGCTTTCTACCATAAAAATTTTAGGCTGTTTCATAACTTCTCCGGTGAGTTACAAAATTTTCAAGTTCAAATTCCCAGTTTTTGCTTTTTAGGATCGCATCTAAATTTGCGAGAGTCGCATCTAGCTTTTTTCGAGCTCACTGCTCTTCAGTGGCTGAAACTTTTTCTCTGGATAATATGAGCACTATACTACAGAACCTATGCTTTGCAGCCTCTCAGTCTTTTCCTGGCCTTAGTTACGAATTTTCAAAACCGTGCTTATGCACGTTTTTTGACGTCGCTCTGGACGGCGCTCAAGCGGTTTTTTTTCGCGGGAGAAAAGGTGGAAGAGGTAGGAATCAAGCTTCTTAGTCGAAAACATCTTTTGTACTTCAAAAATGTCATTTTTTCCTCCGTGAAAAAATTTGTGTCGCCTACGGGAATCGAATATGCTGGTCTGAAGATGCCTGAAAATCCAAAAAAAACTTGCAGAATCTCAAACGTCATTGAAGGTGTGTATGTGTGCTGCTACAGATGCTCGGCGCACCCATTGGCCTAGAAATTCTGCTTCCCAAACCTCACTGAAGTTCTCACGCAGGTGTTTTTTGAGATTGACATTCGTTTATGAAGGTTACCGCGAGGAATTTGGGCAGAGGAGGTAAGGGGGATAAAGGGGGTGGGTGGAGGGTGGGGGGCGGGGGGGGGGGGGGAAGGGGGGGGGGGTCGTACGGATGCGTACCTCCAAGGGGGGGGGTCGTAAATGAGGGTCCCGGATCGCATCGGCACGCTTGACCCTGATTGAAGTGCAAGTTTCACATCTAGAATCAGCGACTTCGATTTTTCCAGCACAAAAGGATTGTTTGGTCTCCCGTCTGAGGCGAAAATCGTTTTCAAGCTCCTGAAATCCTTCTCAAAGTTTCTACCGTAGTCTACAATAATGAAGAGCGATCGGTGATTTGCCATACTGTAGATCTAAGTTGAACCTCGCTCTACAGGATGGTGGTTCAAACTCGACGAAAGACGAGAAAGCAAGGGAGTTATTGATGATTAAACAGTGTTCACGTTTTTTGGGACACCCTGTATAATAAGTAGATGAAATTTTCATTGACCCAAAATCACCAAAGGGAAGAGGATCAAACCTTGGTTCAACGTTCTTAATGACACTTCGTACCACTATACCATTCGTCTTTCGTGTCATGATTCATTTAATTTGCCGTTATTAATTCACTATCAGGGGAAAACTTTTTCTTGCACGAATTTTCTTTGTAAATCTAATGTGCTGTTCGGAATAACATCGGTCTGTAACATTGTGCCGTGTTATGCGCCACGTGTGGATTTGACTCACTCAAAACAATCCAGAGATGTATATAACGGCAGAACTACCATGGAGCGTTAGCTTTTTTCTCTTATATTTTATCAAATCAGTATTTTCTGTAGAAATCACTAATTTACGCTTAGGCAAGTATGCATGTCAGCCTCTTCATTGCATTCGCACTTACTGTGGTTGCAAGTGCGCGCCTCTATAACGTCGAAGTAAGAGGTATACTTATATGTAAGGAAAATCGTTATATACAAGTTTATATGGAGCTTGGTGAGCACGATAGTGAGTTTTACCTGATACTCTGCTGAAACAACGCACTGATTACAATTTGACGTCTTCTAGTTGGGTATTCTGATGATATCCTCGACTGGAAGTTCGTGCCGGTGAACCAGCCATTTTTGATCAAAGGCAACCACAGCGAGTTCTTTGGAATAAATCCCTACTTGCGAATTATGCATAATTGCCAAGACGTAAGTTCTTCTCACCTTGTATGTAAAAAAATACTATCATAGCTAAAATAAAGCAACTGGTGTTTGGTGAATTCAAAAGCCCTGAGGTACGGTAGCCCTTTCAAATTTTGGGACATAAAACCTCTGGGTACTGGCCTCGATCAGCCGCAGTTGTCATTGTCATTATAGTACAAAAGTCAATAAACTTTCGTTTTCACAGATTCAAGAAGAAGTTATTGTGGAATTTGGAAAACGAACCGCTGATACGTCAATAGACCTGGATTTCGTTAACCTCGAAGAGGAAGGCCTCAAGGATTTGATTCTCAACAAGTACAAGAAATCATAATGATGATGATTTGACTTCAAGCGACAATGAACCATTTCCGCTTGAATATCAGAGCAAGAATTTCATAATATATGATTACGTTCGAACTAGGAATTTGCCTGCTCTTCATTCAACTTCTATAGATTATCAACATTTGCTATATTATGTCAAACTTATGCTGAGCCTAACTTTTCAAAGTGCAGAACTACGAAATAATACTAAGCCAGATATCCAGTATCCAAAAATTTTCATGAAAATGAACCCTCAGCCCGCAGTTGGTGCTCAATGATAACATACTTAGGCATAAAATTAGTTCAGACAGTGTGTGTGTTCTCATTTTTGTAATGCATTGTCTATGTGTCTTCTCAAGCTCAAGTATCCTGAGAGTTTTTGGACTATTCATTCAGCTAATTACTCTATTTTCACCAAAAAACCAGTACAAGTCAATGTCTGATTTTCCTCTGACTGCCAGCCACGGCTTCCACGATATTTTGTTTTAATCATAGAGTTCTGCATTATTTGTCACATTATTTTTCTGAATTATTTACGACTTTGTTCTTGACAGGAATGACCACAAAACCTTATGCGAACTCGTCTTCGCTCCTGGTACATAAAGCTGTATGGACCCCGATCAACGAGTACTTTCGTTCTGCTCCGACGTGATTTCTAATTCCTGGGTAGCAGAAGAGTGCAGTGAGATCTGAAAAACAGATCGCTTCTGATCAAGATAGATCTGCATGCGTCATATCCGAAAATATAAATATCAATGATGGGGACCAATAAAATCAAAAGTTCACAATGGTTTTGTTCGCATTTGCAAAGCAAAAGCAAATCACTCTGATCAGCTTTTCAGCCCAGAGTCTAATGGAATAATACATACTTAGAACCAGAACCTTCAAACAGTCTGAAGCTTCACCGTCCCCTACTCCCTACCTCACCAAATCTACCCGAATGCAAGGCACTGAGTAGGATGATAACCGTCTCATAAAAATCAAAATACTCTTTGAAAGTTTTTCACAGAAATAGTAAGAGCAAGGGCGAGGTTATATCAACCGCGAGTTGAATCTCAAACGCCAGTCATGGCACACAGTAACTGGAAAATAAGCTCTGTAAAAAATACCAAGCATGAGCATAAATAATATATATATGAAGATAGAAGCTAAAATTGAACGCAAAATTTTTTACGAACTCTGTCGATTTCTGATGGCTTTTTCATGCTTCATTATAAAGTAGATACAACATCACATGCCATGCATGCACATGTTGTATGGAATTGCACCTGAGTACCATGGAAAACAAGCTTAAAAAGTGGCAAACTTCGCCCTGTCCGAAAGTCTAAACTTTCATGTGCTCTATATACTGAGTACGTATTAGATTACATCTGCATATTTTAGTTTGGCAATAGATCTTAAAAATAATAAATTTAATTCAGATATGTCCGAAAATTTTCTTGAGATGATCTTGAAGAGTGATGTGTTCTACATACCATTCTTCGTTGATGTAGTCGTATAAAGACAACAAGCGTAAGCTCGTTTGGAACTGTCAACAAATATAGAAAGCATATATTTGGCCTCGGGAGTCTTGTTAAGCACTGTGCGTGGTATGGCTTTCTTGAATACGACGATGTCATCCTGGATGGCCTTCCATCTTTGAATTTGCTCCTCAGGAAGAATGGTGTCCCATCCTAACTTCATTGAAGATCATCGCTGTTGCGGTTTGAAGTACACACTGATTGTGAACGATTGGAGCTTTGTCTGCAATGTAGCTTTCACATCCATTTTGTGAGTTTTGCGCAGCTCGTATTTCGTTGATCGGTGGTCGACTCCGTTGGCTGGAGTTTTGCTGTGATCGACCTGATAGTGGCGATTGCTTTGCCACATTTGCAGGTCGGCGTGTTAATGCAATATATCCATTGTCTTGCTTCTTTGCATCTGAGAGGCAGAGAGATCCATGATGTGAGTCTTTGCACTTAGGGCACACTCCAATATTCGTACAATCCTTCGAGTTGTGATTCTTGGTAAAACACCTCCACCACACCCTTTGACTTCTTGCTTCAAGGCGTCAGGATTTCGGTGTGGTACACCTCTGACAGATGTAAGGAGAATGTGGTTGTCCACATAAACACAAGCGTTTTGGTTTCAAGAGCTGTCTTTCCTCTTCCCATTTCGTCCTGTTGCTCCTTGCATTTTGCTTAGTGTCTTGGCGGTGACTGGTTGGGAAAAGAGACTCCGTTGTAAGCGAAGTGGTTTCCCGCAGTGAGATAATGCCATCGATAGCATTAAGGATTTCGTTAACATCGAAGGGTTTATCTTCTACCGCTTCTTTTTGGATGGCGGTCGTACAAATGGACTCGGGAAATTTGGAGAAGATTATTCGACGCCAGACTCTGTCTGCATTGAGCTTCATTCCCGTCTGTTCCAGATGAATGGTCCTTGAGTTAATTGCTTCGAAGGTGTCCCGGCAACTCTTCGGATTGTCTGACGCCCTCGGAAGTTTTTTCGATCTCATTTATGAGTATGTCTGCCATGTTGGCAGAACGATCGAAATGTTTCTTCAAAATCTCTATTGCTTTTTGATATTTCTCTCCAACAACGGGTATGCAGCTCAAGGGGCCGCTGCTTTCCCCTTCAGTGCTTGCTTTAGAAAGAGGAACTCGTCAGTGTCGGATAGGTCTTCGTCGGCGTAGATGAGAGATTCAAACAGTGTCCAGAAGCTGTTAAACTTTCTGAATTTCCCTGAGGTTTAGGGATTTCGAGCAGAGGCTTCCGGATTTTTATTTGCCTTTCGTTGCGCTCTGGGAGGCTGCCGTTCCAGGTCTGGGCTTCGTCGCTGGCGACGACCGGTAACGGCACGGCGTTCATTTGGCTGGATTCGCCATGGAGCGCGTTATTGGCACGGAACTTGGATCTTGTGTCCATTCGTGTTCACTTTTTGTTCTTTCATCATTTTTGTTCTTGTTCATTCGTTCCCTCACTTTGTCCGATCAGTACCTGTTTACGCAAGGACTAAATTGCTGGAAACCTCAACCCTTTGATGTAAGCCTGGCAAATGGAGATGAATTACAAACTTTGCTTTGCAATTGATAAGCCCTGTGATCTCCTCTATCCCGTCGGTCACGCAACAATTCGTGCCCTTCAGCTGGTGTATCTATCATGTCGTAACTGAATCCGTGTTTGGCGTAGGGTAAAATGCCAGCGTGGTGGTGCCAGCACGCAAAATTTACAGTGCTGCGAAGAACAAAATGCATTCGCATGTTGGTAAACGACTTAAATCATGAAACGATGCGACTGAATACAACTCCGTGTAAAGACGTGACAGATACAAATCAGCCGTCCGCAATACAATCGACGCTCAGCGCGCCTATTACTGCTGTGGAGTATGAACACTGATACTCAGCGAAACGTAGTTCAGCACCTTGACAGCTAGTCAGCTTTTGCAAAGAAGGCACGCCTGCATATTTTATGGAATGCGCATGCATATCGTAAACAGCTCGATTGGTGATAAGGCCTAGTCACGACAAAAATGTGCGCTCTTATTCGCATCCTTTTCTCACCATAGGCAGATAGAGGACGGTTTGACAGGATGATAGTCATTGCAATCAGGCTAGTCCTTGACCCTAGTTCCTACACTCACTTCGCTTTCTAAAACGTCATAATTTTTGAGGCGGATTACCGAGCGACGATGAAGAATGTAAGGGATCAACTAATACTTACTCAGTGTCGCACTTCGAGGCTGCGAATTCGCGGGTGTTTATCATACATGACTTTTTCTTGAGCATCTCACAAGTAATGCCAAACATTCAACACATTTATTAGGAAGCCGAACTAAAGAAAAACTTTACTTGACCTTCGATTTGGAAGCAACAAAGAAATTTCGAAGCATATATCGAACAAATGACACAAGACGAGGTAAACCGTAAGTGAGCATACAAGTTCTTCAGCAAATAAGGGCCTTTCCGGCATAGGTGGCATTGAGCTTTTGTGATCATTTCAACGGCCCTGCAATAAAAAACGATTCCCCTACACATGTAAGAATTTTGCAGATTGATGGAGATCATGGAGAAAACGCACATTTAGAACAATCATGATCAAAAAGTGAAGTAGCGGAAAGCTTGTAAATCATTTCCATTCGCCAGGCTTACATCGAAGGGTTAAGGTTTCCAACAATTTAATCCTTGCGTAAACAGGTACTGATCAGACAAAGTAGAGAACGATTGAACAAGAACGAAAATGATGAGAGAACAAAAAGTGAACACGAATGAACAAGGAATTCATGCAGAGAACGAATGAACAAGAATAATGATGAAAGGGCAAAAAGTAAGCACGAATGAACAAAAGATTCAAGTTCCGTGCCAATAACGCGCTCCATGGCGAATCCAGCCAAATAAACGCCGTGCCGTTACCGGTCGTCGTCGTTGGCCGCATGACTTGATGTGCTTGGCAGAC